TTCTTGTAAAAGTATGTTGGTATTTGATCCAGCATGATTTTTTCAAAAATGTGCTACCCGATTTATGTAAAGTAACAATTTGATTATATTTTATGAGCTCAGGAAAAAAACCACAATCAGTACATTCATTATATAAGCTAGGATTGGAGCTATTGTCTCAATTACAGATTTGGAAACGCCAATGGATTAAAATATTTTACTATAATATCTTTAAAATCAATGTATTGAAACTTAAATTAGCTATTACAATTATTTAAATTTGCCTTTAAAATAGATTCAGCAACAGTGGACGAGGAATTCAAAGATTGTGTAATTAAGACTAGAATTTCAGTAAATAAATTTTCAAATACTGTAGCAACTTCAAGATGTTACTTTTTTATTATCAATGTTTAAATTAAATTTTGTATGCACATATTTGGAGTCTTACAAATTTGGCGTTTGGGTACCCATCAGCTACCCATCATCCATCAGATACCTATCGGCTGACCAAGGATCAACTCGCTTATCGTGCAGAAATATGTGTACATCTATTATCATTTCATCGTAAATTAAACTACCTAGACCCTGGACACTGGAGACTCAAAATGTTAATCATACATGCAAGCGCCAGTCGCTAGGCCGCAACAAACCAGACAAAAGTACGCCAAAAAAAGATCTTCATCTTCGCAAGGTAATGCTTTCGTTATGGCGGGATTACATGGAGTAATATACTGGTAAATTCTTCCTACCAATACCACGATTACAGCGAACGTGTAATGTAATCAACTCGATAATCTGAAGCTTGAACATTATCGGAAGCGTACACAACATGACAAAATATTTTTCCTCCATGATAAAGCCCGACTACATATTGCTAAGAGTACCCGACAGAAACTATTGAATTGGACCTGAACTGGGAAATAGTTCCACATCTTCCTTATTCACCGGATTAGCGCCAACAGATTTTAGTTTATTGCGGTCACTTAGTAATCATTTCAAAAACAGAAATAGGTAACTACCGGCCCATTAGCATTTTAAATACTTTAAGCAAATTGTTGGAGAAGGTTGTTTATGATTGTATTTAGCCCATAATAACAAGGGCAATATCACATAATCAGCATGGTTTTATAAGACAAAAATCAACTCTGTCAAATTTGGTTGAGTTTTGTGGCTATGTGATTTGCGGAATGGAGGAATGCGGACAGGTTGATGTGATCTACACGGACTTCGAAAAAGCTTTTGACCAGGTGGATCACATCATTCTTCTAGATAAGCTATATAAGCTTGGAATTAGAGGCGATTTGTTAAGATGGATAAGATCCTACCTATCTAATCGTATGCAGGCTGTTGTCATTGGAGGTTATAAATCAGACTTTATTCAAATACCATCTGGTGTACCCCAAGGATCACACCTTGGCCCTTTATTTTATTGCGCGTACATCTATGATATCGGTGAATGTCCTAAAACAGCTCATCATTTGCTTTATGCCGATAACAAAAAAGTATTTATGAAGGTATCCTCAATGAATGATTCGGAGCTAATTCAACATGATTTGGATAACTTATATTCTTATTATAGACACAATAATATAACAGTAAATACGAGGGTCAAACTGAAAGTTCTTAGAAAATCAAAAACTGATTACATTAGCCAGTTATTAGTTTTATTATATCTTTTCAAAATATTGTCCATTCACGTCAATACACCGCTGCATGCGATGGAACCACTGGGAAAAGCACTTTGCCCACTCGTCCTTAGGGGTCTCTTCAATGGCATCGCGATACGCAGCCACCGCTTCTTCAGCATTCATAAACCGCTTTCCTTTAAGTTTTTCTTTAATTTTTGGAAATAAATAAAAATCACAAGGCGCGAGGTCGGGGCTATACGGCGGGTGACCCAGTAATTCAACGTTTGATGTCGCCAAATAGTCGATCGTTCGCTTGGCGGTGTGCGACGAGGCGTTGTCGTGGTGAAGGAGGATCCTACTGCGAGGTCGTTTCTCTCGAACTTTTTCCAAGACAAGTGGCAAACAATTGGTAGTGTACCATTCTGCAGAAACTGTTTTTTGATCCTCTAACACAATTGTTGCAAAATGACCTATCCTTCCAAAGAACGAGGCCACCATTTTTTTTCCCGCACTTCGATCTCTCTTCACTTTAGTTGGCAACTCCTCGAAAGGAAACACCCACTGAGCAGATTGTCTTTTGGTTTTAGGATCATAACAGTAAATCCAGCTTTCGTCACCTGTTAGTATGTCGAACACAGCATTTGAGTCACCTCCGTTAAATCTTTCAATCATTTTACGACACCAATCCACACGATGGAGTTTTTGAGCCTCAGTCAAATTATGAGGTATCCACCGGGCGCAAAGCTTCCTGACCGCTAAATGTTCGTGGAGGATTTTGTGCACTTGACTCATACCGATGCCTAAGCTTGTCCGAATCTGTTGATAGGTCACTCTTTTGTCAGTCTCTATCATACGCCGCACAACACAGATGTTATCTTCAGTCGTCGCCGTAGAAGGCCGTCCCTCACGTAAATCATCAGTGAGATTAGTGCGACCACGTTTAAACTCATTAAACCAGTTGTAAACAGTCGCACGAGATGGGGCTTCATCGTGAAAGGCCAATCGTAGTCTATCATAACTTTCTTGTTGACTTAAATGACATCGAAAGTCATAAAAAATCATTGCACGAAAATTTTCTCGTGTTAAATTCATGATGACGTGACACAGACAATTTTCAATTTGCCGCCAAATCGTAAAACAAATGACAAATGAATGAAATATATACTCAGTAATATTGGCAAAGAGTTATATTTTCAAATTTTAGAATTATTTTTTTATTATATTGTTTATAAGTGGCCAGTTCTAAGAACTTTCAGTTTGACCCTCGTATTAACAAGTGTCAATGCATTAGTTTAAGCCGTAAGAAGAATAAAATTGTTTTTCCTTATAATTTTAACGGAGAAGGCATCATGCGAGTGGAAGTGGTGAGAGATTTGGGTGTTCTGTTAGACTCTTAAATTACTTTTACCAATCACATCACTGATGTAGTCAATAGAGCATATCGTAACCTAGGATTTATAATCAGGACATGTAAACCTTTTAAAAATGTAAATTGTCTAAAGTCGGTTTACTTTGCATACTACCGTAGTATTCTTGAATATTATAGTTATATATATATGTATTTAGAGTCACCACAGTACTCTAAATACATAAATGAGATAGAAAGAATACAGGAGAAATTTATAAAGCACTTAAATTATAAGACTGGTAGATATTTTCACGGTCCTCATGTTGATGATTGTCGGGAATTTGATCTCTTGTCTTTGGAATCTCGCCGCGAATTGCTTGATATGTACCTGTTGTATGGCATATTGCGCGGTAACTTAAACAGTCGTAATCTTCTTGCCGGTATTGCTTTCTGCACTCGCTTTCTGCTTTCGCGAAAAACTCCTCTGCTTAGTATACCCAAACACCGAACTTACTACGGTCAAAATGCTGTCGTGACTCGTATCTCCAGAACATACAATAAAAAATTTCACGACGTAGATTTTTCCATTTATCTAAAACACATTTTAAAAAACAATTGATCTCAAAATTGTTACGCTGAATGAACCTCGGAAATAATTAAGTAATTTCAGCTCTAATGAATGTAAAATTTATTTATCTAATGTCGCTTTAAACTGATGACAATTTTAATGTACGTTTGTGCAATTGGCCGTAAGTTCTTTAACCAATTAATCAATGTAGCTTTTTGCAAATTAACTCAAATATTAACTAAAAATTACTTTAATTTTTAATGGTATTATTTGATAACGAAAAGGGAAGTACTTGGACTGCTGAGACTAAATGTCATTTGTATGTGTTTATATATGTATAATATAGGTATGTGGGACTATATGTATTATTCATCTTTGTATGCGTATAGTATTGTTATTAATAATAGCTTCTCCCTACCAAAAAAATAATAATAATAATAGAAATAGTTATGTACATAAAGTGGAACCTGTTTTTATTAAAAGCAATACACACATATTATTATTATTATTATTATTATACGATATGTATAATTATAATATGTGTGTATTGCTTATTTTGCTTCGAAGAGAATTATTAAAGTTATGAAACTCTGTTATTGGCTAGACTAGATATATAAGAAGCTGTTGAGTTTCTTAATCAATAAATATATATATTTATATATATATATATATATATATATATATATATATATATTTATCGATTAAATAAAATAAGAAAGTGTAATGTACGAGATTTTACCTTAAACTCGATAATATTGAAATAAAAATGCTACAATTTTGATTCTAATTTAATAATCAATACAATAATAAGTTTGAGCTGAAAACAGTAAAGCATAATGTACCACAACAGTATTTTTTAATGTATTGCATATTTTTATGTTTGTGTACATTACAACACTGGAAATCGTGTTAGTAAAAAAATTGACATTTGATAATTTTTGCTTGTGTTGTTCAACTGAATCAATATGTCTGTTCTCGGGCGTACCCAGGACCCAGCATCTACTTAAGAGCCTTATCAATAAAAGCAAATGCTATGTCATTTTCAAATATCTGCTTCAATGGATAGAGATTTGTATTAAATATTTTCGAATAATCTTGTTATTGGAGTTTATCATATTTTATTATCGATAATAAATTAATAATCGGCAATCCGTTATCGTATTTGTTTGTTAGCGACACTATTCACGGTCCGATGACATGTGTCAAAAGAGACCTCTTTTTTTGTGAACATTATAAAGCACCCGTATTATGGAAATCTGAGTCAACGAACGTACCACAACATCCAGACCCGAGACAATTTAGAAGAGTCAATTTTCTAAATTGACTCCAACGTAAATCAAACCCGAGGCCTTAGAGATGGCGATACTGAAACCTGCCTGCGAGCTACTCGGCTACAAAGGTCGTCAATAATCCTTCAACATTAGTAGTCACACCTTTAGGGTTAAATAAGAAGAAAAAGAAATAAAAGGTCAATATTCAATAAAACATTTTAATACATTAATGAACAAGTTATATTTGCACAGAATCACTAATTAATTTATTAATTACTAATACCAATATGACTTGGCTGGCACCCTGTCTTCCTTGATGCCTTGCTCTTCCATAATATCCATTTCGAATGTCCGAAGCTTCGGTGCGAATGTTATCTTAAAACAAAGAATAATAAAATATGTTTTAGTTCACAGAGGCGGAATTACATAATAAACTGTATTTACAATTTCACAACAATATAAATAAAAATTCAAGGTTTAACAGATACGACATAAGATTCATCATCAGAATTTAACACATACTGTGCAATGAGTTCTCTTCATTGATCTACACAGGAATTGATTCCGGGTAGCGATACCTTGGAACCAACATACAAGTAATCATCATCATCAGCCTTTTACGTCCCCACTGCATGGGCTCAGGCCTTCCTTATGGATGGTTAAGGAGGATGGGCCATGACCCTCCACGCTGGCCCAATGCGGATTGGAGGGTATTAACGACTGCAAATGCAGCCGGGACCAACGGCTTAACGTACCTTCCGAAGCACGGAGTAGCTCGAGATAATAATTTTTTGGTCACCCATCCCGTGACCGACCCTAGCGAAAGTTGCTTAACGACAACGATCGCGGGCCGCCGCGCTTATCCACTACGCCACCGAGCTACATGCAAGTAATAAACCATGAAGATTGTACGTAATTACTAGTATGATATTATCATAAGTACGTGGTCATATATATTTAATAAAATACCTTTGTCACTTCATCTGCTGCTGTGTCCTTCTCTGTATTCTCTATATACAGTGCTTTGCTCTTGAAGTCCATGGTTTCCTCAGCACTCTTTGGTATAGGAATAATTCTGCTACTCGCTTTTGATACACGAACCTAGGACCAAAACAAAACATTTAATTATCTTTGCAAAAAACGGACGGAATTTGGAACATTTAAAGTTTATATAGAGAAGAAGTTCAGAATGCTATTATAATAGAATTGATAAATAACATACATTAAACAAACTACTATGAAAAACATTCCAGCACACATCCCCTTTTTTATATAAAATGCTTTTGACACTATTGTTTACAAGTTAAAATATTATAAAAGAGCAAGCTTTGGTTATAAAACCTTGATACGATTCAAATTTTATTGCCGAATTTTGTCAATTTGGCCGTTGTTAGTGGAAATAAAATTATATGTTTTGACCGTATCACAATATTAGGTATATACTTAGCGCCGGCTCAATCAAACTTGGCACCCTAGTTAAAATATTGGAACGAAATCACAATAAAATGTAAGACTAAGTAGGTACACCGATTAAAGAGTGTAATTAGGTACTTTTGAATACCGTAGATATGAACTCATGTTCAAAAAAAACATTTTTGCAGACACTGCACGTTTGTTTACCACAACATTCCAATGTCTCCAGTTGATTTCAAACTCTGCTCTCAAAACATTAAGGTTTAAAATAAAGTGGAGAAATTTGACCGATTTGTATAACCTGACGTGCTATCGACTGTACTTAATGTATTTTTAAGGTTCAAATAATGAGGCAGTATTTTAAAAAAGTTCTCGAAAGCAAAACAGAAGTCACTAGTGATTTTATTAAAATATATTTTTCTGACGCAATAAAAATAAATTGAGTATCGAAAATTAATAAATATGACATCGTTTCGTGTTTCTTATAATATCTAACTTCCAAAGTATTTGAACTGCAAGTTTCAATTATTTATTATGTTACATACATAAGTATGTTTGGTTTATATGTCAACATTAGTGATGAGCAGTGTTACCAACTAAGTACTTTCGGTGCTAGAGCTGGTACTACTTTCATAAGGTTAGCACCGAAATTTGACTTATAGCACCAAATCTAGCACTGTTTAGTATTTTTTATTTATCTTCTGGTCACAATAAAATTTTTATAGGAAAGGTCAAATAAAAAGTAACGCGGAAAGATCAAAAGATGATAAGAAAGACGAACAACGTATTTACGTTAGAAAATAAAAAGATAGTATAATAACTGTAACGCGTCTTTGTGATTATGAAATTTAAAATGTACTGTTGTTCTTTTCCAACGCACGTTTTTTCTTGGTTTTGAGTTTTCGTTAGTATAAATTTAATTATGAAAATAAGATTCATTATCTGATCTTAGTTTTTTATAGTATAAGATACCTATATTCTAAAGTTCGAAAGAACAACTTATTTGCAACTTATAACCTATATATTAAAAGTAACTTACCCATTGCTTTCAGAACTTTTGTTAAATATTATAATGAAAAATGCCTATTTTAATTAATTAAAAAAAACTATGTCACGGTAATATTAATATACCATATCGAAATGATACTTTTTATAATTTCGTACCAATATTCTATAGATTTCCATAGCTTTTAAAAACCGTTATCTATAGTCACACCTTTAAATTAGTTTTCATTTTCCTTTGTACAAATAAAAAAGTAACTTATTCAAAGTTTCGTTCATAGTATTTAATCAAATTGCGTTTAACTTGAATTAATTAAATTTCAACTCTATATTTTTATTTATCAGAGTTATCAAATCCATAGCAGCACTTACAATAGGGATGATGACTAATTTTTGTTTGTTTGTCCGTCAGGTAGTGTTAAAAAATATAATAACACGTATTTTTTTATTTTTTTCGTAATCATTAAGTTACGGCGTTACATTGAGTTGAAATTTCGCATGACGTCACGTTAGGGTACGTTTTCTACTCAACTGTGACGTAGCGAGCCCCCACTCCTCAACTTTAATGCCTGTTATCTATTTCTTGTTAAATTAAAGTAAAAAAAACGCATCTAATATTTTTCTATTATCTGACAGACGGACTAAACTATACGGGCTGGCTCTTATGTAGTATGCAACGCCTTAAAGCCCATATATTGCTTTATACCTTTTGCCCCTCTTCTGTGTATCGCCATTCAATTTCAGTAGGTTTGAGACTCTCGGGATCAACCAATTTCACCTGATTGGTCACCAACAGAGGTGCTTCTGATTGGATAGTCACTCCAGGGAAGGTTTTGGTTTTACCCATCTGAAAAAAAGAACAAGTTCTATATTATATAATATATAAAATAAAAACAAATATGAAATAACATATGATAGAAATTTAAAAAGCTGTGGAGGTACCACGAACACCCCAGGTCAAAAAAAAAAACGAAGAACTCGAGATATCTATGACGTCACCAAGCCTCATATCTCTTGTTTCGATTTATATATGTGTACTGACTGTTTTGCTGTAATTGCGCCAGCGTAAATTATAACCTATTTCCCAAGCGTATGATGTAGTTTCCCATAGATTAAAGAATTTTGAACATCGGTCCAATAATTTCGGAGCCTATTCGAAAGTTCATAAACATGTGTGAGAATGACTCCGATATGTAAGACAAGTCAGTACTGACTACTGAACCAGTGTAAATTAAAACGTAAAGATTTTACCACAACTACTGATCCGTCACTGCCCCTGTGTAAACAGAGGCCAGTTTTCGGCTCCAGCACTGACGCTCGTTACTGACCCCACATAAATAACCACAATATGTCAAATTTCCTCAATCGATTTTGAACTTTATCTACAACGCATTAAGGTCTGACGTCCTGTTGACTGTACAAATTTGACGTAAGGTGCGTTAAGCGTCCCACGGAAAGCGTAACGGCATTTCCGTCGAACGTGCATGAATCATACAGCAGTGCATGAATTTCATTACAAATATTGATTTGAAGTTTAATTGCTTTTATTAGCTTCAGTAAACACATTCTTCATAGGTTTTCTTGACTTATAATATAACATAAATCTTACGTAAGAAGTATTCTATTGATACTATATCGTGTCGTGTAGCCAAGAAAATAGGAATACTCAAATCAAATATATTTTGCACCTAAACTGAATAATTCACCCAAATACAAATAGGGAAAAAAATGCAGAATACCAAATGAATATTCGGCCCATCTCTAATAACTACCCTTATACACAAAATATAGTATAGATGATTACTCACAACTCGCAGGTGCGTGTTAAGCCCTTCAACAATAACCCAGTTACGTTCCTGTATAACTTGTGACACTATGCCTTGCTTGCCTTTGTCTCTTCCTACCATTATTTCCACACGATCTCCCCTGTAATAGTCAGCAGAAACTATAAAATAAAATAATTCTACACAGACAGGTAATAACAAATAGCTTAATATGCCATTTTAAGTTAGTCCCATAAGCCTATTAATATTATAATTGTGAAAGTTTCTTTGTTTGAATGTTTAGATGTTTGGATGTTTGTCGGTCAATCACGCCGAAACTTCTGAACGGATTTTGATGAAATTTGGTATACAGATATGGTGTTAGCTGACTTAGATAATAGAATACTTTTTATCCCACTAAACATTTCCCTAGGGTCCATGCGGGCGAAGCCGCTGGCGAAAGCTATTAATAATATATTTATAATGATATTTTATTTTTTTATTGGCAGATTTTTTGACATTTATTGTTGAAAATTTGGGTTATTCACATCCTGCGATGTGTCACCTCATTATACATAAGTTTATACTGATTTTTATGGCGTGGCTATTCTCTTTCTTTTCAGGCGGAAGGCGGATACTTTATTATCTAACAGCATTTATCTTCTCCTTAATGAAGAAAAACAAAATGCCTACAATTTTTACTATCTAATGTTAAAAAAGTAGATATAAATGTAAGAACATGGGCCTTGTGGATACCACAGTATTTTTAGGAATAACATTAGATTCTAAACTACAGTGGGGCCCACATATTGATAAATTGTCGAGTAGACTTAGATCTGCAGCATATGCCCTAATGAAGATACGTAGGTTAACTGACATAGATACTGCCAGATTAGTATACTTCAGTATGATATCGTACGGAATCCTATTGTGGGGAAATGCTGCAGACATATAAACGATTTTTGTGCTTCAGAAAAGAGCAATTTGATCAATTTATAATCTTAGGATTAGGGACTCTTCAAGGGAGAAGTTTAAGGAAATAGACATAATGACTGTTGCTTCTCAATACATATACGAGAACTTAATGTACGTTCGTAAAAATATTAGTTTATTTCTATAAAAAGTGAAGTACACAATTTTAATACAAGATATAAAAATAAATTAACGGTGCCTGTCACTAGACTGCAAAAAGTTAATAACTCATTCAGGGGTCTTTGTGTGCGCTTCTACAATAAGGTCCCAAGCAAAATACAACAATTAGATATCATGCAGTTTAAATCTACTATTAAAAAAATACTTATTAAAAAAGCTTATTATAAGATATCCAATTATATAACAGATAAGCTGGGGAGTTTCTTGCTCGTTCTTCTTATCAGCCAAAAAACGACCTGAACGAGTGGTAGGGAAAAAAAATATTGGACAATTCAAAAGTACTTTTAAGAAGTCTATTTGAATAAAGATTATTTTGACTTTGACTTTGATTACAGCAAGCTGGTTTCTATATTGCTAAATCCTTTGTTTATAGGTCATACAAGACCTTTCTATATCTCCCTTGATGGTTGGAATGTGTAAGTATTCATGTACTTCAGTATTCCTTGTTAACCATATTGAACTGCTTAGTGTCTTTAAGTCTTTACGCTTTCAAGCGTTGCAGTATTTCTATGTTGGAGTACTTTCAGATCCCCAGAGCGCTATACCATATGTCCATAATGGTTTTAGTATGAATTTATAAATTGTCATTTTATTCTCCAGACCAAGTGAAGATACATCTCCATAAATTTTCAGTTAGGCAGCTCCCTTTTATTTTTTATGTATTCGCACCAAGTAAGCCTTCTGTCTAAGTGCATACATAGATATTTGACCATGTTTTTTGGTAAAATACTTCCACCAAATGTTATTCTGGACAGCTATCTCTATTTAAAGTGAAAGTTACGTGCATAGATTTTGTGGCACTTGCTTTGATTCTTCACTTTTATAACCACAGTTCTATTACATCAAGTTGTCTTTCTAAGTTCCAACGATGCAGTTACATAACATCTACCACAAGACAAAATAGCGGTATTGTCTGCATAAGTTGCGGTGATGATTTGATTAGAAGTAGGCAGATCAGCAGTGTATACTGTATATAGTATAGGCCCGAGAACAGATCCCTGCGATACTCCAGCTTCTATTTGGTAGCATTGGGACAGTCTCCGTACTTGATTTGGAACAATCGGTCTTGCAGATAAGATTTGAGAAACATGTATGCAGTATGTGGCAAGGAAATTTTCAATTTACATAAAAGACCTTTGTGTCACACTCAGTCGAACGCCTGTTGAATGTCAACGAAGACAGCCGAGCAGTATTTCTTCCATTCTAGAGATTGACGTATTGTGTGGCCCACCCTGTGTATTCGCTCAATCGTTCCATTTTGTGGTCTAAACCCAAACTGGTGGTCTAGCATTGCATTTCATTCTTCAAGTATAGGAAGCAATCGCTTCATTAGCAACTTCTCAAACAGTTTGGATAACCGAGGTAAAAGGCTTATAGGTCTGTGTGAGGTAATTTCTGTAGCCGGTTTACCTGGCTTTCTGATCATATTTATGATTGAAACTTTCCAAATAAGGGGGGAAATAATGTGATCTGAGGATTGCATTGTAAAGGATTGTTATGAGGACAATTCTGTTCCTTTGGCAGACTGTTCAATATCTTTGACGTGATTAAATCAAATCCTGATGAATTTTTAATAAATTGTCAAACAATTAATTACTTTCTGATCTCAGAAAGAGTAAACAGCCGTGACGGCAGGGACATCTGCTGATCGCTATCAAGAATGTCATCGATTTCCTTCTCTGGAAACATAATGTCAGGCTTGTTTGGCTTAAAAACCATCTGGTTGTCTTAAAAGGCCGAAAGAACACATACATCCAATGTGTGCTTTCGGCCTTTTTAGTGATTTCATCATTTTCCAGAGTGAGGAGTTGTCTCTTTTAAAAAGTGATCAAGTTTATAGTTTATTTATTCTTTTCAACTTTTTTGTGCTTTATTAAGTACCTTTTTATCATGTATATTCCTGCTAGTTTGACATTATCTTCTCAACTTTTGCTTTACAGTTATTATATTTCGTATTTACAGCGTAAAGTCATATTTGTGTGGGCTGTACACAATATGCGGAGTAGATAACCAGGCAGCTACTTGAATAAGATTAGTAGTTTACCAGGCAGCATTTTCAATGTCGAACGAACGAAAAACTTCTGCATAAAGTTCATAATTGGCCTTTGCACGTATGACCATGTCCTCATTATTTATTTATTTATTTATTTAATCTTTATGCCTATAACATAGCAATGGCGGACTTAATGCCAAAAAGGCATTCTCTACCAGTCAAACCGGTGAAGGTGTACAGAGCATTCAAAAGGCGGTATCATAGAAGAACAAAGTTACAATTTATAACTAATTATACCAACAAATTATATATAAAATACAAATATATACATACACATTATAAACTTATATAAAAAATACATAGACATACAAATATATATATATATATATATATATATACATATATACATACTGATAAACGAAGACTAGGACACACGAATTGATTGGAGATAATATTCTCGTACTTTTCTCTTAAATACGAAACTGTTTGACACATTCCGGATATTCAAAGGAAGTGCATTCCAAAGTCTTATGGCTGTGAGGGTAAAAGAATCCGAGACAAACCGAGTATGGTGAGCAGGAGTTTGAAGTACAAGATTGCAACTGGAGCGAAGTTCCTTCGGATGTGAGACTCCTAAGAATTGAAACCTAGATTTCAAATACTCAGGAGTATGTGGATCGTAAAGAATTTTGAAGAGAGAACATACTATTCTCAAGAACCTGCGTTCACGGATGGGCAACCATTTCAGTTGATTACGAAATTCAGTGATATGGTCGTATTTACGTAGACCGAAAACGAAGCGTATAGTATTATTCAGTAGACGATCCAATCTGTCTAGAAATATTTGGTTCATGTTAGAAAAACAAACATCAGCATAATCAAAGAGGGGATGAATAAGCGCCTGCACGAGGACAATCTTAGTACTGGACGGAAGAAAATTTTTTAGTCGGTACAAAGCCCCAAGAGTGCCATTAACTCGTCTACTGACACTGTCCAAGTGCCCCTCCCAAGACAAAGTACGGTCAAAGACTACACCCAAGTTTTTCACGTTTGAAGAATAAGGAATTACCACCCCATTATATAACAAAGGCGGAGTTGCATTCATATTAAGTAATGAAATCAGCCTTGGACTACCAATAATAATAGCCTGGGATTTGACAGGATTCACAGTAATTCCAAAACTTTGAGACCACTCCCAAATTCGAGATAGATTTTGATTCAGTTGCAAAATGACCCTATCCAAATTCTCAAGTTTATCTTGAGCATACAATTGCAAATCATCAGCGTACAGATGATAAGAGGTTGAAAGAGTAGATGTGAGAAAGTTTATAAATAAGGAAAAAAGAAGTGGAGAAAGAACGCCGCCTTGAGGCACACCAGCAATTAAGTCAACCCAATCGGAAAGCGATTGATCAACCCGTACTGATTGCTGGCGCCCGCGAAGATAAGATGAGAACCAAGCAAGCACAGAGGAAGAACATCCAAGCTGAGCGAGAAGAGCAAGTAAGACGTCATGGTCAACTGAGTTAAACGCATTGGAGAAGTCTAGTAGGACTGAGACAGTAAGACATGTATCATCCATGCCATCACGTATATCCTCCACGATTTTTAGAAGTGCTGTAGTGGTGCTGTGTCCAGGTCGAAATCCAGACTGAAATGGGGATAGAAGCTGGTTGCGAAAAATGGAAGAGGAAAGTTGTTTATGAACTACCGCTTCAAGTACCTTTGACAGAAAAGGTAGAATGGAAATTGGTCTAAATTGATTCAAGGAGCTGGGGTTGGAGACTTTTGGAAGAGGGATAGCATAGGCCTTACGCCACACAACAGGAAATGAGCCGGAAGATAAGGAATAGTTCAGGATGAAAGTAAGTATAGGAATTATGGCATCAAGTAGTAAGACAATCATCTTCCGACTTATGTTATCATAGCCGGTGGCCTGTGATTTAATAGAAAGAACTATCTTGCGGATATCGTCCTCTGTTACTTGAGTAAAGGTAAAGAAAGTGTCAGATGGCATAGCCGTGGAAAAATAAGACTCTTACAGACATAACTCTTTTAAAATGCAAATAAGGGAATTCTACCTACCTTGTTTAGTTACTGCAAATTAACTTCTTTATTTATTTATTTGACAGACAATAGTTTTGTTTGCTGTATTTATTTGGATAGTATACCTATATTGTTTAATGTATATTTATTTAATATCTATTGTAATCATAAGATTATTAAAAACCCCCATACTTTTAAGCTACTTCATCTCTCCTTCCAAAGGCTGTATAGAAGAGTTCACCGATTGTGACACATAATATTGCTTACTAATATTGTTTTTTTCCCTGTATGTTTTGTATTTGGTGTTAACAATAAAGTGTTATCTATCTATCTAATATCAGATGTTGTCTGATATTAATATATTATTCACCAAAATTGCTCAGAGCCTAATTAACCAAAGTACATGAATTATGAAAATCTGAAGCAATGAAGGTACACACCTCTGCACTTCAGGCTACCACAATATGTCACAATTCTGCAAAAGATTTTGTACTCCTATGTGAATTAATTAAGTATAAAATCGAGGTATAAATTCTGCAAATTTTTTTTGATAATTGTTTCTCAAAAGAATCTCAACTTCCCACATTTTGATATTTTACTATAATCCCTGAAAATTGTTAATGCACCTGACCACCATTTTAATGACGTAATTTTTATTATGTTTTTTTATTATGCTTTTATTGGATTTGATTAATTTGCTCAGTTTTGTTGTTACTTGTAATGTTTGACAAAATAGCAACTGGTATTATGATTTTCATAATAAATACATAGTTTAACTAACAATAAATATATCTAATGTCTCTCATTTCACTATTTGAAATTACTTACTTTTGGTTAGGTTTAAAAAAAAATTTCTTTCTGTTATTGTTGACTATTGTTGTTATTGCATTATTACAAAGTAAATGTTGTTTTGTTATTTTCCATATACCTCAATATTTACATATAAATTTATTATTTTCCAAAAATTCATGCAATTAGTGATCAAACTAAAAGTTATTAAATTAGTATAATAATATTTTAAGGATAATACATAAATATTCCCATAGTTAATGAATAATGTATCTCTTGCCTTTTGCCCTATCTATACTTTCTATTTTGATATGACGTCACGCGGGTCATTTAGACAAGGTACCAGCGCATAAGCAATTTACAGGACTTATATGTACCTTAAGCTAAATATTAATATACATATAAGTATCCGCACACCATCGCTTTGTAAGAGAGACGTAGCACTCTTACGATGACACGGTTAAATTCAAGAACTTAATTATTATTGCTGTATATTCAATGTGCAAAATCGCAAATTCCTACTTGAAGAAGCTCCATTCAGCGATAGGCTCTAAAAATACTTTTTTCCTATGGGTATTTCTTTCGTTCTGTTGCTGGAACTGTCCAGTCCATGGTCTGTTTGTAGTAAAACGATACCGTTTACGAGCAATTTGAGCTTTCGCATATTGGGGATAACCAGTAGGATTCTTCCAATAAACCTAAAAACAAAGATTTTTGAGGTTATGATATTAGTTTGTTTTATTATAAATCATATCTACTGATTTAAACATGCCTGTTCATAACTCCGTTTTATATATGATTCTGGGAGATTTGAATATTTCACGGTTAGATCACCAACTTTTTTAGATAGATAGCCGAATATTCGCATTTTATTGTTGTTCCGCACGTACTTAAATACAGTAATTTGACATTAATATCGTTGATATCTTTGTTGATGTATAAGGCAAAGGGATCCTATGCGGCGAATTACTTGTCAAATTTTTTGAACTATTATAGTTGTTAAGTACACCAAACAGAAGGATACAGGAAGAAAACATGAAAAGGGTGTTTTTTTTTCAAATATGCAAGTAGAAACGGAAATAAAATATTTTTTTTAATAAAATCAACATAAAATAGTAGATTTATTATGCTTGATTTCTAGGAACAACTTTGCTCTATCAATGTCACAAACACGTTTTTTTTATTTTAAATTAATTATACTTACAAATTACAGTCAACACAACTTCGACAAATATATTAAATAATTTAAACTAGACAATAATCCAAAATTACACAGCATTATTAAGTAACAACAAAGGACGGTCTAATACAGTCCTAGCAATAAAAATTAATTTATTCTATCCCATGACTTATAAAAAAGGGATTATTTCATTGGTACCTGGATAAAGTCAGTTATAATAATCTTATATCTGGAGATTTAATGACGATTGCAGCGTCTTTGGTACTACGGGGAATCTCATTAAATGTGAGACATATACTAAGGGCTGTAAAAGGATCTTTAACACAAATAATAATAAATATTATTAAATGTTAATTATTTGATCATTTTAATTCCAATGTATATTGGCTTTAAATAGTAGGCGCTTTTAATTATAATAATCTTTTTCCACTTTTTCGCATTTTGCTTGCCATTTTCAATATTTTCATAGACAAAATAATTGACGTAAATCAGCTGTCTAATCAGTAGTTGTAGGTGGCGCCACCGCATCACGTGAATTTTCATGGCGTTGAAGGGCTCGTCCCGAATTGTCTTGTGATTTTGCCAAATTACTTGCTGTTTCTGATATTTATTATTAAACAGCATTAATTTATAAATTGTAGGTGAGTACAGTGATTCGTTTAACCTTGCTGTGGTGGCAGAAAGACTGAACAGCGCTTTTGCGCGGGGCAGAAAAGTGTCAAAACTTAGGTGACGGATGTGTACGGGTGGTTTGGGGTGGAAATTGTAGGATATTATAAAACGGGCGCCGGGATGTCTGACCGCCTAGCGGGCGGCGACCGCCTGAGCCCGATATCGATTTACTGCATCGCACCAAAGGCTCGCAATCAGAACTACAAACATCACATCACACGGAGTCACCGACGGCTATATACACATTTTGAGTGTACCTAAAATCGATTTTCGCGACCATGGAAACTATTTCGTCGTAAATAGATATGTAGTTGTGGTAGTGACAAATCTTTCATCCTGTTCATAGTTAGTGTCAGTTTGGAAAACTTTATTGTACTAAGATTGTGATTTTCCAGTGGTGAAAATGTCGGAGTACTGGTTGATCAGTGCCCCTGGTGACAAAACCTGCCAGCAGACATGGGACACCCTGAACAATGCCACCAGGTCGGCCAACCTTTGTGCCAACTACAAATTCCCAATCCCCGACTTGAAGGTGAGAATAATTAACTGTGGTAAACAAGTGCCTTTCCTAAAAATATCACAGAAACTATCTCAAAAATTGTGTACACATTTTGGTTATTTTTGTTTCCATGAAAAAATGCTGTTAATACACGGATCAATCATAATTCAAAGATTTTGTATTCACAAAACTGTCATGTTTGTCATTTAATTTTATTGTGAGTCAGTTCAGACATTCAATAAAGACAAGAATAGATGAATTTCGTCATAGTAGTAAAACTAGTAATTACTTGAGCTACTTCAGCTGTAAATACTTCTTGTTGTTTTCTGTTGTTTCCTTCTTTATTTTCAAAATTCATCTTATTGATGATTTATTTAAATATATATCTATATAAGAAACTATTCCAGTCTATGTTTAAATATAACATGTCTATCTTTAACAGGTGGGGACACTGGATCAGTTGGTTGGGCTGTCTGATGATCTGGGTAAGCTTGACACCTTTGTAGAGGGTGTCACTAGGAAGGTGGCTCAGTATCTCGGTGAGGTGAGCATCGCTTGAAAGCTAAATCATAATTATATTTCCATGTGTACAAAGTTAAAGGCATGTCCTGTTGAAATAAATTCAGTATATTCAGTAACAGTGATTAACATAGATCTGTTATTTTAATAATATAGTTACTAACTATATATAGTAATATAGTTACTAACTTAATTTTAATTTGCATCTATTTAATGTTATTATGAAGTCACCACTAATCAAACTAGGTTTTTTGTCATCCTAGTTATTTATAGAATTGGAAATGCCACTATAGGATTATGTCTAGTTTTACTCTAATCTGTACAACAGAACTGCTATCATTATATAACCATAATTTTTATTCATGAAGCTTAGTCTAAATTCAAGATATAAATTAGGTAATAAATTATTGTTTGTTTTTAGTTAAACCTACATCAATATATTAATAAATTTATAATTATAAAATTAACACCACCTTTACAAAAAAAAAATTTGGCATTCTCATTTTATCAGCTATTCATAAAGTCGTAATTTGTATTTTAAATATCATCTACAGGTACTTGAAGACCAACGTGACAAACTCCATGAGAATCTGATGGCAAACAACAGTAAGTTACTTTTATAATTTTTGTGTTAATATATTTTATGGCTCTAAACATTTTTCTATTTTTTATTGTATTTCTATACATTAAAAAAGAACATGATGATATACTTACTGATACTGACAGTGTTTAGTGCCGTTCTTTGAAAGACCATAATTTAAAAGTGGATAAAAAATAAAATCTAACAAATAAATAGTTTTACTTAGCCAATAAATAAATGAGAGATCTTGCATGAAGGAGACATTAAGTTTAGAGTAAAATTATATGATAGCATGTTTGGGAAACATAGAGAGAAAATCTGCTACAATCTGTTGTCAGCATGAAGGACTAATTTTAATCATAGACAAGAATGGAATATCGTAGTGAATCAAACAGCACACAGTAGTGCTAAAAGTTTAAGCATGTGCTGCTGAAATTCAGATGTTAATGAACCATGTATTTTTTCATTTATTTACTTAATTTTTATTCTTCTTTTATTTGCATGTTAATTTATTTTAAACTTTCGATTATTCTGTTTTAGAATAGTCAAAAATAATCCTTTTATATTTATGTATTTTTTATTTCATTTAATTTGCAATTTAATAAAATTGCACAATATTATTTCCAAACATCACATAATAACACTACCACACAGTAACTCCCCTATCACATTATAAGCACAGTATGTTATGTACATAAAATTTTCTGTTTGATAATGTCAACGAATCTTTCACGATGTTGAATATTAATAATATTCATATACTTAAAAAGAAAAACCACTATTTTTCAAATATAAAGAAAATACAACAAAATGAATGTTGTTTTATATGTAGAATATGAAGAAGTATTTGGTCACATGATAGAAAAACCGTATATCTCCATTTTTAAATATTTTAAGGAAATTCGTTGATATTTATCCTCAACATGATCATCACATAAAACAAAGGCTAAGAATGTTGAGTGGACAGTGTTTGTATATTTTTGTTTGTTTGTCATGAGGTTCGTCTACTTGGGACTATGCGGAGCCTCTATTTTTGCATATAATGCATTTTGAAGATTATTGTGTCCTATGTGTTTAGTTCATATTGAATGTAAATAGTTTAACTTATGTTTTTACGGCTACATGAAAAAGGCGGCGTCCATAAGTTTGAATGTTTAAATTAATGTACTTGATTCTTAGACTAAGAAACATTTTAAAATATCTTCCCACTATATAAACTCTAGTGTTAATGATGAACCTCATAAACTATAGGTGTAGTCTCTTAAAATATGTTTTTATGAGATTTTTTGTTAGAATTTTACGTACCATATTTGAAAAGGAGCACAATGTTTTATTAAAGAATTTTCATATTTTAATTTTTTACAGACTTGTGTTTTTTTTTAACACAAAATTTGATTCTAAAGTAGAGATGCGCAAAATTTGCGTTCAAATGATTATTATTGCTCGTTTGTATATTCTGTTACTTAAACATACTGAAGTGTATGTTCGGCCGAAATTTCATCTTCACGTTTAAAACAAGTTTATACAGCTTTGTGGTGTACCTCCTTTAGGCGTGATCGCCTATTCCACTTAGCCCGGTTTAAAAATTGACTAATTTAGCTTATACTTTTTGGCACATAAATTAATTGAACTGTATAGATATTTTTGAAAAATTGGCATTGGTTCTTCTTCATGCCTCAAACTATGTCTATATTTAAATTTATCATAATCGGTCAAGCGGTTCGATCTAAGTTTGTAACAAACAGTCAAATAGGGTTTTTTGTCTATTAATAATAGGTCTAAGTTTGACATAGTTTTTAAAATATAATTATTCATTGTGTGAGAAATATTACTAAAAGACAGATTTCTTGATTTATATTTTTTACGCAATGACACCATTCAACACCGAGATATTATAGTTTTACTTTCGTTACATTCAAAAAAGCTTACTACTAGGTGTGCTTTTGAAGATAAGAAATTATGCCTAGTCGCTTAGATTATATAATATCTAAATCTAGTCGTAATATCTTTCTATTTTAGTCTGAATATTCGGCGCATCCCTATTAAAAATAAATTATTATTGTAGTTGTATTTTTTTCAGTTATGATAATTTATGATATTTATTGTTAGCACGAGAATGCTAGTTTGGAATTGCATTTCAGTGTCTGAGAAATGGAAAAAAGTATGCGGCAGTGAGTAACAATAGTATTATATGTAAAGCTTCCAAATATAAATGTCGCCAGCTTATATATTATGTTGAAGCTTATAAGGTGCGTTCAATTGTATTATTCACGTTATTCTATTTATAAAATGTGTTTCATACATCAACAAATTTAAATATTATTTTATTTTGTTTATAAAATGAAAAAAAAAACAGATTATTCTCTTTTTTTTAACTGTCATTAAATTATACTTTTTTAAGTTTGACTAACTATTTAAAAGTAAATATAGTAAAAAAGGTGTTAATTTGATTACATATGATAAATATTCAATTTTTATAATTATGGTTTTTATATAAGATATTGAAATAACAATGAATATTTACATAAAAACTAGAAAATTGACTGACATTTTTAAAAAATGTCTATATCAGCTAAACATTTTCTTACAATGTTGTGTTATATACTGCTTTTTTTTTTATTATTTATCTCAGTTTTCATATGAAACATGCTTTTGAAAACGACTTCAATAAAATCAAAAAGTTCATAACGCAACATCTAATTTTAAAATTTGTATGTTAGTAGTGCAATTATGTAAAGGACACTTCTGTGTATCAAGTTCATGTTAGATTTACTGTAAGTACATTTCATAGTTATCTGATATCAAAGATGTTTTATAGCTGTGTCTCCATATATCGTAGATGAATCGCAGTCACTGCCTCACAAGACATTCATAGCTTAGCCATTCAAGCTTATATTACGTTTACGCATAGCGCTTTTTATTCTTATATTATCTTAATTTTTATATTTCGGTTCCTCCATATTATATAACCTTTATATATATTTAGCTCCTCCTTTACTAATGTCCTCTAATTTTATTTGCCTTGATTTATTTTTCGAGAGGCATCTATAAAAATGGAATGAAAAACTGGAGCAAGTTGGACATAAACAGGATAGACGGTCGTATAACAAGATGATGATGTGAAATTTTTATGAGATTATTATGCCGTTTATATAGCGGCTATTAGGATATCTGGAACAAAATTGACTACGTATATTAAGAAAATATATCAAGCCAAAGAAATCCAACACAAATCTATTAAAAGCTTGTTTTATGCTGTACAGCAGCAGCTATAAATATAGTGAGTCATAGTGATATCTGATATTAAGGTTAAATTAAAGTGAAAATAATTATTTTTCATAATAAACTTGAACTAAAATTCATGTACATAATAACCAATTTGTAAGTACGACAATATAAACATAAACTATAATTTAAATACAAGTCGGATTGTCTTGGCAGGTTATACCTCGAAATAAAAAAAAACTATAAAATAAACGTCGCCCTATGAACATTATTAATACAAAAGCAAATGGTCCATCTGCCGCTTAAGCTTTAAACAAAATGTCATACATATATCGGGCTCAGTTCAGTCTGTTATGCTATGTGCCATAGAGTAGCTTAAAACGAGTAAGCTTAAATCATACGGGATAATAAACCCACACCGCCGTTTAGGCATCGACTCTTACGCGGATCCTGGTGGGGGAGAACCGCCTCCTTCGCCGACCTCTCCTGTCTGTGACTCGGCATTCTCTGAGCATCACGGCTGTTGGCCGTGCGACCACCATTCGGAGTGCGAGGCCTCCCACCCTTCTCAGCCCAGTAGTGGGCGTAGTTCACCGCGGTGGGACGACGAAGAAGAGGAAGAGAGACACCACCATGTGCTCACACAAGGTTTAGGATAAACGTGGAGACTCCTTCTTTTGAACTGATTTTGAGACTACTTGGGGGACGATATCATGACATGTATGTAAAATAATACGCAGCTTAATTGGTTACTGCCAATGGTGGTTTAGTGAAGCGAAGCCATAATAATGACAAAGAGTGGGCCCTTTAAATGAAACCTAAGAAGCTTTACATCGAATTATATTACAACTGAATAGGACAGTTTTGATGCCATGGATATATGCTATATTTTCTCTATAACTTAGCTAGAGCAATTTGATAGCTATTCGATATGGCCTCGAAAGTCGAAAGATTTTATTACAAAGTCTCAAATGCAGTTTGAAAGTCACTAGTGAAATTTGTAAAAACCTATCGGTAGGCTTGTATTCATGACTTCCAGTTACGTACAGCGCTGCCTGCTAGTATCGTTTCATATCTAAATGTCTATCTTTGATGGCGATGGCAGTGATTGCGGTTTAAATAGAATGTTGAGCCTTGAATATCATATTTTTTCTTTACTCTTTAGCTGAAGCTCCATTAGGGCTTTTTAAATAAGCAGATGGCGCTGGCCGTATTTTATATGTTTTTGTTGGCGCCATCCTGAATTTTTGTTAATATGTGCTTTAATTATACAGATCATATTTTTATTATAATTCAAAAGTTTAGGGTGACGCTGAAGTTCACTCGTGGCTAGTACTCCATAAATGTATGTCAATATCACACCATATTTGCAACTGCTTTTGAAGTTGAATAAACTATTAAACATGTAGTTAACTAACAGGAGGCATTCCTTAAGTTATTTTATAACCAAATATATTTTTAAATACATTTGCTGCTTTCCCCGTTAACGTAATATTGCGGAGTTTTTATTTGATATATTGATTTCGCTTTGTTTTAATTGTTTAATATCGTCAATGTTTTTATTTAAATATTATATATGCGTCTATTTTATTTTAAATCATTCCTACAAACTCTTCTGGCATGTTTCCAATCGATAATGTCAGCTCTTATTATAGGCAACAATATTATTAACCTTGATGTTACAAATCGATATGTTTAGTTACGAAGTTATTTATTTTTCGTACTTGAAGAGTCTATTACTATTCTCATAATAATTATTTAAAATTTAAAGAACTTGTATTATCTTTTGATTTACTTTACATTTAAAATTATACCTCTGTTTAAATGTGTCTTCATTTTTTTCCAATTTATTATAATCTCATAAACTTTTTAGAATTATGATTTTAAGAAATTTATGTGATTACAAAATTATTAATTAAGACACAATATGTAATCATAATTGGCATTTTACTGTTTTCCGATATACATGTATGTATTATACTTATATAAATAATATACTTAAATAATAAACGTTATGTATATGTAATCTACTGAAATGATACCAAATATTTGGAATTGCAACAAAAATACTGATAGATAAGGATTAGAAAAAACAAAACACTGTAAACATAGTATGCCCGATTCAAAATTCATCCAAAATTACTTTCAGCTTATTCTTATCCTTACTGATGTGTTTAGGTGAGGAATATGTTATAAGTGATTGAAAACTGAACAAGAAATTAAGGTTTTGTTCTATCTAATCTAAACCTTTTATATTTGGAATAATCGCGACGTATGGTCGTCCACTACTCGATGGACATGTGTTTGTCAAAGAAAGAAAGAAATATTATAATTTTGTATGACTGCTTCGCATTGATAGTAGATGTCGATGTGAGATAGTGCATGTTCCGTTATGCATGGATACTTATTTTAGATGTCGCATGATATAAATTGTAAACGTTTTCAGTTTCGCTATTATGTACCTAAGTGTTGAATCTTATATTGTGTTATAGAGCACTGTTTGATACCGTATTAATAAAGAGCTTTGTTTTTTGTTTTACTAGTTCTTTTTTTGTTGTAGCACATTTATATGTATACATTTTGTTTTGAATGTGATTTATAAATATTTTAAAACAACATATAAAAGTGAAATTCATAAATTTAAGAAGCTCATTTCATATAAAAGCTGTCAGTCTTGTCTATAATAATACATTTACTAAATTGTTTACTGTATGAAGCTAAACACGACAAACTTATTGTACAACACATATTAAATAATAGTCGACGTGTTAGTTTTTAACATTAACGACAGCATTTGATTTATTTACCAAAAATCTTAATATAAATAAACCTTTTGGAAATACCTTTTAGAAATATATATATTTTAACGTATATAAATTTTATTAATGTGCACGTGAAATTCAAAATTTTCGACTTACTCCACTTTGCGTGTTGCAGGCGACCTGCCCACGTACCTCACCCGTTTCCAATGGGACATGGCCAAGTATCCTATCAAGCAGAGTCTGCGCAACATCGCTGATATTATTAGTAAACAGGTATAACATATTTAATAATTAAATAATCGGTTTTTGGCGCTGTATATTGCACTCTACTTTTTCATTTCGATTGAAAAAAAATAAACTAATTGCTGTGACTTTTGTAATTTGTAAATTTTAAGAAAAATTCAAAACTTTTAGCGTCAATCCCTTTTTTTCTTCATAGTGGACTAAGAAATGCTATAATTAAAGCGGCGGGTTATCTCGACAATTTAGCAGAAGCATTACGTTGTGTTTGATTGTGGGGAAACACAAATAGGAATTGCAGTTAGTTATGGCATTTCTTCTTAAAAATCGCCGCTTTTAGTTTCATTTTCAAAAATAAAAATGTCTTATTTATAAAACTTGAAAGAATATTTTGCCCCTAGACCATAAGGTGATACTTTAGCTTCGCTTTGGTAAGCTGTAATAATAGACTTTTAGAGCAAGAAGAAACAAAGCAGTCTTTTATATTCGATATACTATTATTGTATCTAAGTTCTCAAATAGTATTGGCAGATGCTGAACCAAACGTGTGTGTAATAGAATAAAGAGTATCATGTCCACAGCTGGGCCAAATCGACGCTGACCTGAAAGTGAAATCTTCCGCCTACAACGCACTCAAGGGCAACCTGCAGAACTTGGAGAAGAAACAGACGTGAGTAAAACATACTACAGTATAATGTAAATGTATCATTGTCAAATTAAAGCATGTTCATCGTTGAAGCAGGACCTCGATAAAGCTGAACCTTAAAGTTTCCTTCATAAAAGTTATAACTAAACCATTTATTTTTGACAAATAAGATGTTTATATTTCCATACTAGTACATTGTCAATAGATCTTAATTATTGGCTATTAGCTAGTTTCAATATTTTCTTCTTCACGTGGCTCTCCATTACTGGAGGTTTGCCGACAGCCAAGCGAAAAAGTTCTTCGACGCTGGCTATGTTAGTCATTCTCTTAACTTTTATAAGCTGAAGAAGCTAGTATCTCTCATGTCATGTCACACAATTCATTTTGTTTAATGGGTGCGACCAAATTTTTTCAATATAATGAGATATAATTATATTAAATGTCGTTCGTGAATTCAACAAGACAGTAATATAAAAAAATAATGATAAAATATTGTTTTTATATTTTTAAATCAAAAGATAATTAATTGTACTCTTTGTACCTACTTCTTTTTTATAAACACAATCGTTAACTAACAGGAAGAGCTTTTAATTAATACACAAATGTTTTCCTACATTCTTGTATCAAATAGAGCAGCGGTTATAATTTTTTTAGAACACAAACCCTACAATGAGACAATGCCTGTATATTGACAATGTGTACTGTATATTGATAATGAATTACGTGCAGGTTTTACTTCAAGTCCTATTAGGGGCCATTCATTTATTACGTAAGACTATTTTCGCTAGTTTTTAACCCCTCCCCCCTTATTATAAGAAAAATAAAAAAGACCGACCCCCTCCCCCCTGTTTAATATTTATTACGTAAGAATCTGAAAGAAAAAATAATACTGGTTTTGGGTTGCTTTAATTTTTATTAACAAAGTAATAATTTTTAGAAATCTTTTTCTGTACTTACAAAGGTACTAATAATTTTCATTTATTGGTAGTTAAAAAAAAAACCTTAGTTTCATAAATCTTTCATAAAATTTTCAGTCCAGGTACTCAAAACCCACTCGGAAAGTGTATCTGCCAATGGAACATCTCTAATAAAAGATGTTGCTTCTAGTTGGTCATTCAGGATAGTGACGTCGTTGACGTCCAGCTATTCCACACCAGCCCCATTTGCTGATCTTACGTAAGAACTATCGAGACTCCCTCCCACACTCTTTTAAGAAAAACTAAGACATTGTTGACTCCCCTCCCCCCTAAATCATCTTACGTAATAAATGAAAGGCCCCTTATTTGTTGAAATACGGCTAATATTTTCGTGGACCCCGAACATTGCATTGCGGAGTCTAGAGCTAGGCGGGACCCACTTTCAGTAGATTCACAGCAATACAATATTACATTTTTTGCACAAATTTTTCTTTTCATTGTCTGTTTATTGTTGTTTCAATGTATTGGCACTTTTTATGTTACAATAAAATGTCACTTACGCTCCTCCAATTGAGTTTGGTTTATTGTGACGCAGCGGGAGTCTGCTGACCCGCAACCTGGCGGACCTCGTGAAGAAGGAGCACTTCATCCTGGACAGCGAGTACCTCACCACATTGCTCGTCATCGTGCCTAAGTAACTATCGTATATCTATACTAGCAGGTTGTCTGGCAATTTTTGGCGGATATTTCTACAGTATTAAATTATTATATGGAATTTTTTTACTGTTATTGAAATTTAATTTTATATAATTCTACTTATGCTGCAATTCCCATTTAACTGAATTTGACTTTTTCGGAATAAAATAACAGATAGTGGACGTACGTATCCATAGTAGTTTATCGTAATACTTTACTCTAGGTCGATATAATTATTATTGGTATATTTTTACTGTTATTGAAATTTAATTTTATATAAGTGCTTATACTTATACTGCAATTTACATTTAACTGAATTTGACTTTTTCAGAATAATAAATGTGATAATTTATTTATAAGAACTGTACTGAAATAGAATATGCAGGATGAAAACAGAAAGTGGGCGTATCCATATTAATTTATCGTAATACTTTACTCTAGGTCGATGTTTAACGATTGGAACGCCAACTACGAGAAGATAACCGATATGATAGTGCCGCGCTCTTCTCAGCTCATCTACCAGGACAACGACTACGGCCTGTTCACCGTCACTCTCTTCAAGAAGGTAACAGAGCGGGACAGTACACATAGTTTTATTTTCCTCTTGAATATCATATTACATTGCAAATGTAATGCTATTTCGAAAAAAAATAATCTTTTTTTTTATTTAGGTAAAAAAAGTGATAGTGTGATTCTTGTTAGTGCAAATTTGATTTATCTACTTACTTCGATGATAGGTCTTGTTGTATCACCCATAACATGGAAAATATAAAGCAGTAAGTTAACTTATTAGTTGTGTTTTACGATACAGAATCATTATTTAAGTGTTTTACGATACAGAATCATTATTTCACTATTAATTTAAAACATGTTGTTATTCATTCAAAAAGTTGCGTTTTTATATCGAAGAAGTTTAGCTGCAGTTATTGATAGTAAAAGACGGTCAAATAATTCATCATCAAAACCAGTAATCATCATCATCATCAGCCCTTTTACGTCCCCACTGCAGGGGCTCAGGCCTTCCTTATGAATGGTTAAGGAGGATGGGCCATGACCCTCCACGCTGGCCCAATGCGGATTGGAGGGTATTAACGACTGCAAATGCAGCCGGGACCAACGGCTTAACGTACCTTCCGAAGCACGGAGTAGCTCGAGATACTAATTTTTTGGTCACCCATCCCGTGAACGACCCGCGAAAGTTGCTTAACAACAACGATCGCGGGCCGCGGCGCTTATCCACTACGCCACCGAGCGACTTAATCAGTAATGGCAGTAGTATATTATATGGATGTGACTTAAGGATTAAAATTGTATTTATTATATTCCAAAAATGATTGCTTCAAAAAAAAATTAAAGTAACCTTTCCGTTCCGTTATGTCAACGTGGATAAGACTCCAGTCTTATCCATGTTAACATATACTTAATTATCTTATTTCGATCTAGAATAATAATGATTTTAATTTCGAAACTGTCATACTTATTCCGATATCCGGTAAGGAAAAGTTCAATAGTTGTTTAACCAAAATTGTTTATAGTTTGAATTTCCATCAAGAATCCTTGTTTTGTCGATAATTCGCTGATAACGACACCAGGTGGTGGAGGAATTCAAACTTCACGCTCGCGAGCGCAAGTTCGTTGTCCGCGAGTTCTCATACAACGAGGCGGATCTAGCGGCAGGCAAGAATGAAATCACTAAACTAGTCACCGATAAGAAGAAACAATTCGTGAGTACACACTATACTGTACGTCAGGGGTGACCAACTTTTTCAGAGCTAGAATCTTATTATTACCGATGAATGCCTATGGGATGTTCGAAAAACATATTTTTGAGATTTTAAATGCATTAAGATTTTTATGTAGCATTTTTTATTGGAAGGAAAACAAAATTTAATTCTTGGCAAACTAGTTACTAACTGCTTGTTTATAATGGCGTAATGCTAACGCTTATATTATTTGCTTACATTATATTCGAGGAATAAACAGTTGTATAAATTAAATGGGTACAAATCTTAAGTTCCCTAAATTAGTAATAGGCCAAAAGCAAAACTCATTCAATACCAATAATTACGTAACGGCGCAGGCAAACAGTTTATAGCTGCATTAGACGTGTATTGTGTTTTGTATAATAATATTATCAATGAGCATTGCGCCTGAGAATCATCCAGAATTTAGTATATGTTATAAAATATGTGATCTCTTTTTACACTAAGGTACAGTACGCTAAATTAATATAATACTTTATTTTCTATCAGTTAGTTTTATTGTACTTGTAAAAGATGAAAAAATTAAAACGACGATTTGATCCAGAGCATACGGAAAGCTGTCGTTGCGCTCGCGGTGTGGAAGTTACTTCTATAAGCATTAACTTTATTAAAAAAAAAACAAATATGTTCTATCTATTAACATTAAGGTAACTTAATATTAGTTAAAATAATAAAACATAATTAAATGCGTGTGCATGCTTCCTACAGTACTTAATAAAATCCTTTTGCATGGTGATAGTTTCAAATACAGTTTATTTTCTTAAATCCTTTGTTTCGCTTGACAAAGTTATCCTAATTCAGTCAGGTTATTATTCGCGATAAGTATTTATAACTCGTAATATTATGACTAAGAACAATACAATTAATTTATTATTATTATAGTTTGATAGATTTCAAATTTACATATAGTTTGTTTTTATAAAAAAAAGAAAATGTAATATATAAATAACTGTTGATCTCACTGAGTTGTTGTGTCTGTCTCAATAACTGTTGAACTCAGTTGACTCCACTGAGCGATCTACCGGTTGGTCACCCCTGCTATACCTACTTCCTTCTCTTTTTTTCTGTATCTCTATTTCTCTCTCACTCTATTCTTCTCTACTCGACTCTACTCTTCTGTCTAATGATGTTTGCAGGCCCCACCACGACGAACGAAACGAAATTTATTTAGATTTCGCATCCGCGCCGAAAGTGTCGACCGAGACGAAGTAACTCCTCACGTGTTGTTCTATTGACATTATTGCCAAAACGAACAAACAGTATTTATTATCTTTAGTTTGGAATGAGGGATGTTAAAATATTTTGACACGTATAGTAATATGAGAACATCTAACGACGCCAAAACATTTACGTAACAAGAAAATCATTTACGAGAAACATAAATTTTGTACCAATTTTTTTTTTTATATTCAACGTGCATTTGAAAACTTTTCACTATTTTAAAGCTACATTTTTCCAGTATTATGTACTTTGTCATTGACTTTTATTTTGTAAAAATAACTGTTTTAATATTTTTTCGATATTATCCTTTAGAATCTCGATTAGATAGAAATAGAAATCTATTGTAATGTCAAATCCGATAAGCCGTAAGTACAGAGAGGTCAAAAAATGTCCCCACTCCAAACCCACTATATAATTTGGAATGCTAAAATTATTTAAATTACTTTAATTCAAAAATGCTTCCGGTCTTGTCATTGCTAGTGTTTGACTACAAAATGTTGCAGTATGCGATCATATGCATGACGTGTCCCGACTTTGTCCGGGTCGTACGATTGCTGTACGGCCCGGTCATGTCGTTGTTGTCTGATGGAAACTGACGAGGGTCCGTTCGCGCAGGGTCCGCTGGTGCGGTGGTTGAAGGTGAATTTCTCCGAGTGCTTCTGCGCCTGGATCCACGTGAAGGCTCTGCGCGTGTTCGTGGAGTCGGTGCTCAGGTGAGGATTGTATTATGTACAACATTCGACTGGTTTTGTTTCAAAAGAATGTCCATATGAGTCGAATTGAAAATGCAGTGTGCATTACATTAAATCTGTAAATATTTACAGGATTTATTTATTTAAATTTATTGACCAATATTAAATGGTACAAAAGGTGGACTTAATGCTAATAGCATTCTCTCCCAGTCAACCTTTGGGAAAATAGACAAACTCGATGGCGGTACAGAGCGATAAAAATTTAAATAAAACTTAAACAACAAATACTAAGCTCATCAAAGATTTTCTCATGGAACAAAATACACAGTTGTAACAACAACGGCAATTGTGCCGACCTTTTTACCTTTATTTTTTTTATATATTTTTAAATTACTGCCATTCTTTGTAATCTTTGATGTTTAAAATATTTATAATTGTCATCGATTCATTGTGTCGTACCGATTATAGTTCAATTTCATTATACAGTCCCATGCCACTAGCTCTCCATTTCAGACATGTTCTCATAATTATATTCATAGAGATAATATGCGAGCAGTGAAGGTACAAAACTTGATAATTTGCGTAAGAGATATTTTTCGAGACTCTCTAATAGCCTAAGAGGCCTTTTCGATTCTGTTAGGCTTTCAGTACTGAATTTAAAATATCATCATCGATCAAAGAATATATTTAGTAATTTTCTCTTGCGTCTTAACAAGAGACAGTTCAACGGCGTGCACATTTTCCAAATTTTATTAATAATTTCCTACTTACAACTGAAATCTTTTAGGATTGGCAACTTTTGAAAAAACAAATTTAGTTTTGTAAATGGAGCTCTTTGGCTTTGCTAACAAAGATATTATCGAGTATCCATTTTATCCACCCATCATTCATTTCACATTTTGGCGGCAAGTTACGTCAGCTAGGATTTAACGTGAGAAAACATGCCACCGTTTACAACTGGTTTAATTTGCTCAGACGTGGCCGAATTAATCTCACTGATAAATATGCGTTTATTATGGGTCCAAAAATTTCCGCAACAACACTACTAACAAAATAATACAATATACTGAAGTCGAATCAAAATTAATTAATAAAAAAGTGCCGATTTTTCATATAAAATGCGAAGAAGCTAACATGTGTTGTGCATCGTGCAGGTACGGGCTGCCGGTGAACTTCCAGGCGGTGGTGATGGTGCCCGCGCGCAAGAGCGTCAAGAAGCTGCGCGACGTCCTGCAGCAGCTCTACGCCCACCTCGACCACTCCGCGCAGCACCACGCCAACTCACAGGACGTACGTATCACTACACCACCACTCACAGGACGTACGTATCACCGCACCACCACTCACAGGACGTACGTATCACCGCACCGCCACTCACAGGACGTACGTATCACCGCACCGCCACTCACAGGACGTACGTATCACCGCACCGCCACTCACAGGACGGATGTAACACAACACGACCACTCACAGGGCGGACGTATCACATCAACACTCACAGGACGTACGTAACACAACACGATTACTCACAGGATGTACGTTACACATAACACAACGCACCAACTCACAGGACGTACGTAACACATAACACAACGCACCAACTCACAGGACGTACGTAACAGAACACGATTACTCACAGGACGGATGTAACACAACACGACCACTCATAGGACGTATGTATCACTACACCACCACTCACAGGACGGACGTACCACAACAACACTCATAGGACGTACGTAACACAACACGATTACTCACAGGACGTACGTAACACAACACGACCACACACAGGACGTACGTAACACAACACGACCACTCACTGGATGTACAGTCCACGATTGCAGATGCAACTGGGACCAAATCAACGACAAGCCTACCGGATAACAAGAGTTGTTTATTTAATATGATTAGTTTTTTGGTGGCCAATCAGAATCTCATCCAACAAAGCTTAATTATTTAACATAGTATGTTTTTATTTGATTCTGTATTAGTGTAATTTGTTCTCCAGAATGCAGAGTTGGCCGGTCTCGGGTTCGGTTCATCGGAGTACTATCCGTATGTGTTCTACAAGATAAACATTGATATGATAGAGAATAAGACGGTCTAAACAATGATAGAGAACAACACGCCCCACTTATGTTAGGTGAGTTTTACACAAACAAGTAAGTTATAACTATGTTGTATTAGTTAGTATTACAATATTTATTGATAACATGCTATATTGTTAAGTTTACTGTACATCAGATTTGCCCTGTGATAAACACAATAAAATAAAGCCAATTAATTAGTTACTCATACTTTGGAACAAAAGTATAATTAGAAAAAATAAAACAGTTTTAATATTTGTTAAAAAATTAATTTTGCTGTTTGGGTGGATTGTCTAAAAATTAATCAGTCCTGTTAGGTCCGGAGTAGCTCAGTGGTTTGAGCAGTCGCCCGGATTGTGAAAGGTCATGGGTTTTAGTCCCATCTTAGAGTGCCAGGGTCAAAGTTGATTTTATAAAGTCTTTTTTTTTAAGTATAATTTAGTCATCACCAGCCCTTTTACGTCCCCACTGTAGGGGCTCAGGCCTTCCTTATGGATGGTTAAGGAGGATGGGCCATGACCCTCCACGCTGGCCCAATGCGGATTGGAGGGTATTAACGACTGCAAATGCAGCCGGGACCAACGGCTTAATGTGCCTTCCGAAGCACGGAATAGCTCAAGATAATAATTTTTGGTCACCCATCCCGTGACCGACCCTTGCGAAAGTTGCTTAACGACAACGATCGCGGACCGTGGCGCTTATCCACTACGCCACCGAGCTACTACTAGTATAATTTAGTACTTTAATGAAAATATAATTTGAAGAATTGTATTAATTTTTTTTTTTATTACAGGTAATGTTACCAGGACGCGCGTATTTACCGCGATGGACTGAACTACAGTTCAGTCATGGATCATAGTTACAATATTATGTTGAACGATACAAATTGTTTATATCACATATCTATTGAAATTTTAACACAAATTATTTATAATTTTGCCCCTTACGATTCCCATGTAAAAAGAATCACATATTGTATTATATTCCCCGATATATTTTGCTATGTACAGATTTTGTTCATTTTAAATATTTACATTATGATTTTTGACTTTTTGAATTTTGTGTTTTAATCTATGATGCAGGTTGTAGATTAAGAAAGTGTGTCCTATTTATGTACATTATTTATAAATATGATGCCATTGAATAGAAACTGTTTTAGATATCCCAATATTTGTGGAAGCTAAATAAGCTTTTGCTTGGAATATTTTGTTTAGTGTTTTTGATGCAACAAAAATTATAATATACAGTATTATTTCAGTTGCGTTTGCTGTGTAGTATTAATAGAATTCCGATCATAAATCTGTATATTAACTGTTCGACAAATAAAAATATATATATCGGAGTTATGAAATGCAAAAGCTATGTAAATAAGAACATTCCTCATTATAAATCGTGTAGTACATAATAAAAATATTATTCAAGTTACTGTTCATGTTGGTTTTATTTATGTTTGATATTTCTATAAATACTTGAGTCTATATTTGAGTCTTAGCACTCAAGTAGGAGTAGCTCGGTGGCGTGTTGGCTTGGGAGTAAATTCATCTTTTACTCCCAAGCCAACATGGAACTAAAACTATCTATCTGTTGTTTTGATAAATTTTATTTTCAAAATGTATATAATTAGAATAGAATTTTATTATATCTGTGCCCAGGAAAGAAAGGTACACAAAAGGATTTACGAGTATTATTACTTTTATAACATTTATTCAGACATTAGTAGCTCTGTGGCATAATGGATAAGCGCCGCGGCCCGCGATCGTTGTCGTTAAGCAACTTTCGCAAGGGTCGGTCACGGGATGGGTGACCAAAAAATTATTATCTCGAGCTACTCCGTGCTTCGGAAGGTACGTTAAGCCGTTGGTCCCGGCTGCATTTGCAGTCGTTAATACCCTCCAATCCGCATTGGGCCAGCATAGAGGGTCATGGCCGATCCTCCTTAACCATCCATAAGGAAGGCCTGAGCTCCTGCAGTGGGGACGTAAAAGGGCTGATGATGATGACGATGACTCAAGCATACAATAGGGTAGATTTGGTAGCAAAAAATATTCTTACATAGAAATTCTAATTTAGTCATAAATTCACATGATTATATTATAATTATAACTTAAAAATAAAGTTCTTTATTCTGTGAAGAAAATAAGAAATCACTCTTGAAAAGTAGTAATTAACCAGTTGATTCTTCGGATAGGTTGATGTTGATGTTTATAATGTTAGCTACATTATCCATGAGATGGCTGATGTATAAACTATATTACGTGGGTTTCTTCATACTTCAACTAACCTGTTAATCCCATCTGCATCTTGTAAATAGTGCCCAGTGGCGTAGCTAGTGCAGTGAGCCCCATTTATTTAGGGCCCTGGGGCAAATAAAAAAATGGGGCCCACCGATATCAAAACTGGTAAGGTTTTTGAAGTAAAATCATTTAATATACAAATACTTTATAAAAAGCTAAGTAACTTTATCATTAGCTCTTTTTTGTGCATGGGCAGGTAATAAAACTAACAACATACAATTATTTTTATACTTGGTGTAGGTATTGGGCAATAAAACGAAATAGAAAAGATTCAAGGGTTTATTATATATTTATTTATTCATAGATACGTTGCACCAGCTTACAGAAGGCTGACTAAAAAACCTGTCAATTTTTGTTTACTTTCTTCTCTTTCTTGGCGTTTGAGTTTAAATGCACCACTGGGTTTCCTTTTTTTGTCCATAAAATTAGTTTTCTAATTTATTTATGTAAGATTGTACTCAAGTGGGTATTCACTGTTCACTGATAACGTTACAAGTAAAAGGAAAGCGAAACTTAATGATACGATACAAGACGTCGTTGGGGAATCCCCGGCAAACATTTTAGTGCCGCGCATTTGACGGTTTAAAAAATCACGTAATTAATGGACGGTCCCTACTGCATGTGACTTGTATTTTTCAGGGTATTTTGAGTTATATAATGAGTAACCGAAATCTATAGATTTCTTTACGTAACTATGTATACGTACATACTATAATCAAATAAAATTGAACTTTTGTATGGACCAGTACAAAAAATTCTTTGACATACGCTTACTCACACCTGATACATTAACTTTTTAACCATTCTCGAAAAAAAATCTTGACTCGAAAGATTCGAGGGCCCCCTGAGCTTAAGGACCCCGGGGCACTGCCCCACCTAGCCCCTCGGTAGCTACGCCACTGATAGTGCCAGAGTACAAAGGGTAAGTGCTCTTCATACATACGCACCGAAAATGGTTTGTATGTGAGCGCGCCCGTGCGTATGCGTCGTCGCACGCACACACTTACAGAATTATCGAAGTTATAGTAGTTCAAGGCACGAGTGGCATCTGGCCAATCGTGTACGCCGTGCTTGCGTATATTCCGCGTCACTGTGTTGCCGCTCGTTATAAAATTTCTGGACGTTTTCAAGATGGCTTTGCAAACTAAACCAAAATATTGTATATGCATTTATAAATCAAGTATATGGTATTTCACATTTTTATAAATTAAGTATATGGTATTTCAGTCTTTAGGTATTCGGGTAATTTATTGTAATACTAGTGGACGCCCGCGACTTCGTCCGCGTGGAAGTCGGTATCCCGTGGGAGTGAGAAGTTTTCCCAGTAAAAAGTACCCTATGTGTTATTCTGATGTATAACCTATATTGCTGTAAAGTTTTATCCAAATCCGTCCAGTAGTTTTTTCGTGAAAGAGTAACAAACATCCATACATCCATACTTACAAACTTTCGCCTTTATAATATTAATAGGATAGGAAGTAATTATGATTTGTGTAGCTATTAACCCATTTATTTAATAATAATATAATTAAACACTGCAAAAAATTGTCTTAGCCCTTACTTTAGCCAACATTTTCTTTTTTTGTTTTATTATTTATGCCCGCAGTTAAAGTATGGGCTATGCCAATTTTTCGGTACTTTGTGAGCGCAGGAGCCATCCTTTCAACGCCACGTTTGCATGCCAACTGAGTTAGGGAGGCGATCTAGTGCAGTGTAATCACAACGACACCAACCGCCCTAAATCGCGGCCGATATATCGTGCCCGATAGATTGGGTAGTGTAATAGGCGCCTACGAACCGTCTGGAGTGGTTTTTGAAAGTCAAGGTCTTTTGGCTAAATTTCAGTTTGGTTGTCGATTTGAGCATACTTTGTTTTTAGATATAGATATAGATGTAGTTGCTGTGTTTTAAGATATAGCAGGCGCCTATTATAATGTCTTTCTCCCAATTCTCAGACGTAAATTAATTCAGCTGGGAGTCCCTGGAAAGTTAATTCGATTCATAGTTAATCCAATTTCAGCTAGGTCCATTAAAATCTAATGTCATGGAGCGCCTTCTTTAGTCAGGTCTGTTTGGTATGTTCTTCCTCAAGGGTCGGTTTTGAGTCCCTTACTATAGGTAGAGTATTTATACTTATGACTTAGAGAGTGTTGTAGATTCATTCTGTCAAGTCTTGCAGTATGCAGATGTCGTAGCCCTCTATATACGATCGAATTCTATCGAATAGGCTTCCTCTCTTCTCAATATCTTGGCGATTGACTAATGGTCACTATCAGTTTGCAAATGCTGCGGTGTAGTGTTTACCAGAAAGCGTAACATTCCTACAACTCAAATAATTTTTCAAGATATCCCTATTTCCATGGATAACCAAGTTAAATTTTTAGAAGTTTTTCTACATTCCAGATCAGGAGCTCCTCATTTTCATAGTGATGTAAATAAATGCGAGAAAGTGGTCAATGTTCTATGTACATTTGGGGGTGTATGGTGGGGTGCTCATCCATTACTCAAAAATTTATATATATAGTTATGGGTAATTAGACCAGATCCTTTTAAGGGCTTGTAGGGGGTCATTTATAATTATTTTCACCCCACATTGTATATCCGAAAGTAATTTTTTAAATGCACTTTTGTTTGCAAATTTACAACAACAAAAACTTTTTTTAAAACTCTGTAGTTTCTGTTTGGGTCAAGATTATTTGGGTTTTATTATTATTTATCACGAACTGGAATGTTATCTCTCCAAAACTGTCAACAAAATTTAATTCTGAACATAATTAATTTTTTTCAGCTTTTTTAAAGAAAAAATGACTCACTTTTGGATCGCAAAAAGTGGCTCACTTTCGGATAATTAGACATGTAAATGACTTCCCCTACAATTCCTTAAAATGATCCGGTCTAATTACCCATTACCTTGTATAAAACCCTAGTCTGTTGTTATGTCCATTATGGTTCCTTTCTTTTAGACCCATGTAATAAGTTGCCACTTGATAAAATAACTAAAGTTTAATCAAAATGTTTGCGAATTATTATAGGTGCCATGAAGTCGTCTCTTATTAATAGTTCCCCCGCTCTATCTGTGTAGGCAATTTTTGAGTGATTGGTTTTTCCTTAAAGTTATATAACATGCCTCTCATCCTCTACTAAGGAAATTAGAAATATTGTTTAAGTTTCTAGTCCTTTCTCTAGTTCATCGGTAGTTATACCTTGTATTCTCCATAGCTATTAAAAATTCCTGACTCCCTCCCTTCCCATCGAAAATCCCATCTCTTTTCGAAAATAGCTCTGAATTGCTTGTTCTTGAACATGTTATTCTTCTTAGTTTTGGATTTGACAAAGACTCCATATACCATACATACAATGTCATGGAAATTAGTATTGGAATATGAAGGCTAGATTTCCATGTACACTGAGAGACCATCATATTAGCCGAATCTCATGACTTTAAAAAAACTATTATTTTCACAGATTCACAGAGTTGCTTAGTCTTTAATATCAAATGTGTTTCATTCTAAAAATAAATTTCCCATAATATAAAAAAAAGACAAGCATTGTAAGATGCCGTCTTAAGAAGCTGCTTATTACCCTCGCATGGATACCGGAACACTGTGGTGTCCCTGCGAATGAGACAGCTGATGCATCTGTTAAACAAGCTGTTAGAACTGGCTCTTTCAAATATTCCAAACTTTCTCATCACAATCTCTTTGTGCTAGTACATGAACATTTAACAAGGTCATGGAATGTTGATTGGGAAATTCTAGAAATAGAGTGGGAAAGTATCATTATGACAATCAGAAAAGTATCCCCAATACTCTTTGGTGCTTTTAGGATAAGTTTTTAAGTAAAAAACTATTTCAATTATTTGTCCCCTGAGAATTGGACATGTGTGTTCCCCAGTTCAACTTGCCAAATTCAAAATTAAAAACAACCCCCCCTCTGCGATTGTAGCATTGAGGAAGGAACTACGGATCACATTTTATTTAATTGTCCTAATTTATCCATTTTCTCCTGTTATGATTTGCTCCCATCAAAAGTTACTTGTACAACAAATATAAAATGAATCTTGAGTATGGTGAAACCCACACCATATAAAATTATATCTAAATACCTAGCAATTAATAAGTCTTATTTTATAAATATCTTTGTTTTCTATATAAATTCTATTTGAATTAACAATGTAATCAGATAGACGCTCTCAGAGCCTTTTTTTATTGTTTTATCTTTTACCCAAAATTAAAAATTGTATATTTTTATTATTGTTTCTTTATGTATAAAAACCACAAACGTGACATTGGCGGAATTGTGTAAACACAAATAGGCCACGAATTAAAAAAGAAGAAAACTGAAAAATTTTGGTCTTTCCAAAAAATTGTATCTCGAAAACTAACAAACTCCGCACTTTGACACTTTGGAAATTGAAATCTCCTTAGCATCTGTGTGTATGAAAAAAATATCAACACACACGCCGATACTAAAGTTGAGCTTCGCCTGTCCCATGAGCAACACTACTACTACTAAAGCTAAGCCATAGGTAGAAAAAAATATAATGCAAGAAGTCAATAAATCCAATCAGGTCATATCACATTATATTGAGTAAAATATAAACCTTATAATACACAAATACAGAGCCAGTACGTTATCAGTTCCAATCATCATCATTTTCTTCTTTATTATCAGGTTCAAGCATTTTATTTATCTGTGAATCACCGTCGCTCATCCTGTTGAACAGCGAAGTTAACAATTTTTTGTTAAGATGATCAGTTTGACTTATTTCTCTTGTTGGTTGTTCTTGAATGTGGTCTGGATTATGCAAGGTATTTTTCTCAGGTGTAGGCATACTGGTTTTAATAAATAACTAAAACTACAATAATAAAAACAAATGAATGACGAATACGGACTAAAAATAGTAATGGTAACTTTTTTAAGATTGGAATCATAGACCAAGAATAAATACTCTTTACTCTTTGGAAATGTCCGGCACTCTATGGAAATTAGCGTGGCGTAACCATGGACTTAACTACTCTTTGATTCCCCGCTTAGATACGGATCTTATTTATTTCAGTATATAGTAATAATTTCGTCCATGGGACAAGCAAAGGAACTAAGCCAAATCTTGGGCTAATTTATACCAACTCATTTATATTAGTGGTGTGTGAAATCGATTACCACTAATCGATAAAACGATTTTATTAAATACTCAGTTTCTATCGAATATGATTTTCTAATCGAAAATTAACAGTCGATTATTTCTTAAAACGTTAGCAATAGGAATAGTTTAAAACGTTAGTATAGTACCTACTTACTTTACTTCGATGGCACAGCAACCCTTTGCGAGTGTGAATATTATTAGTAGATTTTCTATTACTTATTATGGCAATCCTGTTACTATACTATACCGTTTCTTACTAAATGCACATGTATGTATACACGGTGTGGCACATCTGTTTTATAATCTTTGTCTTTGTAACGTAATCTATGATATTTTGTATTTTGTAAGTGGCACTTCAACATCAAAGAGTCTGAAAGTAAACTCATAACTGTGAACACGTTTATTTATTTTACCGATCCTTCGTATAAATAGAGTCAGATAGTAAACTTATCAATAAGTTAAATATCAACCTATATACTAATATATTATAATTATTAATATTATTAGGTTGAGGATAATTTAAAATAGTTTGTATTTTTTTTAAACTAGGTTTGATGCCTTCTTTATTAATATGATAACCTAGAAATTCTAATTGGAATTTTCCAAATTCGCATTTTGGTAGATTTATAGTGAGACCGTAGTTGTTTAATCGTTCGAGTACTAGTTCTAGGTGTTTTAAGTGAGATTCCTTACTTTGTGATCCTATTATAATGTCATCTATATAAGGAAATGCGAAATCTAAGCCTTTTAGAGCGTTATTTACGAATCTTTGGAAGTCTTGGGCAGCATTACGCAAACCGAAGTTCATTCTAGTGAATTCAAATAAGCCAAAGTGTCAGTGCAAAAAACAAAGTGAACTGTATAATTAATGAACTACAACTATAATAAATATATTATATAAAGTGTAATTTTAATTTTTTATGCTTAACATAGGTTTTTAATTGAAATTTATTTTTACAAATTTAGTTCTGGAAAATTAATTAGTTTTACTTTATATCGAATCATATAATTATCGTCCCATAAGAGAGACGAATATTGTAAACAAGTTATACCTTTGTTCTAAAAATAGACTTCCATAGCAACTCATCGTAGCAAACGCAATGTAGACTTCACGCTAGTAGTAAAGTGATAAGAATATGTAACGAGTTGTTTAATTAGTTTTTATACGACATTACGGGTAGTTTTTTAAATATTATTTGTTAAAATTATTTTTATATAAAATCATTATTTTTTTTTTGTTTTTGCCATTAATCCCTTTGATTTGTCTAAGGGGGGAGGACTGTGGCACATCTGTTTTATAAACTTTGTCGACCACTCTGTGGCAACATAATCTATGATATTTTGTATTTTGTAAGTGGCACTTCAACATCAAATAGTCTGAAAGTAAACTCATAACAGTGAACACGTTTATTTATTTTACCGATCCTTCGTATAAATAGAGTCAGATAGTAAACTTATCAATAAGTTAAATATCAACCTATATACTAATAAATAAAACACATAACATTTAAGTAAAGTGGTGACCCAATACAATAATCGGTAAAACGGTACATACCTAAACCAAAATAATATTTTTTACATTTTTTGTCTGTTTGTTTGTTCCGGCTAATCTTTGAAATGGCTGTACCGATTTTGAGAGGACTTTCACTGGCAGATAGCTTTTGTGATAAGGAATTACTAAAGCTACTTTCCACGCGGACTAAATGGCGGGTATGGTAAAAGTTGACTTAAAATGGTTTTTTAAATATTGTTAATTAACTTGGACGCCTTTTAAACATGATGCAATCAATCTGAAATCAATAATAAATTTTTTGGGTAAATATATTTAATAATCATTGACATGAGCCGATTGCAAGTAATACTGTAATCGAATAATCGATGTGTATAATAATCGGATTGGCGCATCATTAGTTTCTCGATATTCTCGATAAAATGTCGACAAGGAAAAATAGTAAATCTATGGGTTTGCAAAACTTGTGACAACCTGCATAAATTGAGACATGACTAATCATACATATTTCTAATGCAGGCCAACCATGGTTTTTACGCTTTATTTATTATTTTTAGGAACAGTCTAAACGACGACATTTAATCATTTAGGATCCACAAATACACTATACCTCTCTCTTTCAAGCATAAGACATTTTGTTTTTGTGAAAACGAGAAATACTATATTGGGATATACTTTATCTTGTAGGTATGGTATATCGGATAACGATGGGCGATTGTTACAAAAAAAACTATCGATTGAATCGAAAATTGTGCAACAGATTATTTAAAAAACAATCTAATAACATTATTCGAATAACAGTCGTCTTAACTACTAACTGTACGCACACTATATGCGCGTGCGGTCGGTTAATTGCAGGAGGACGCGCGGGATGGCGGTCTCGTATTTACCCTTTGGGTACGGAACTCCGAAAAGATGTAGTAGTTTAGCGATGGTACATTTCAAGGTTTGTTTGTACGATATTTCAACATTAGTCAACGCCCGATAGTGTATATACGGATTAACTATATTGCGATGATCGAATGGATGTACTCTCAAATCGGTGGATTTATGTAACCTATTAGCGCCAATCACGTAATAACTGCAGTCGAGCGCAGCGCACGCCCTCCGCACTGCACTATTAATAGTACGCAGGGTTAAGTAATATAGCACTACTCTAGAAATTTATCGATAAAGTAATTACTATTGCCGCCCGCTGCCGCCGCGAGGTTTAGTTGATAGCAACAATCGAATAATATTGATTGTAATCGACTTTTATAGACTAAGCTGAACAATCGACTAATTTGATTTTTTAAGTATTAATCGCGCATTGCTAATATCGGAAAACCGATGTATATGTATTGAAGAAACAGCTGTATTCATATCGAAAAATACCAACATATTGAAAATATAATGAAGCGAACATGACTTTCTTTTATTAATATTTAATAGATAAGAATCAGCCAAAGGCTATTTATTTATCAAAAGACTTATATAGAAATCTTTTATCAAAGCATTGTGAATCTTCCTTAGCTGATAGAAAATCGTTTATAGGAATTTATTCTTTAAAATTGCTGCATAAATAGAAAAAAATATTAAGCCTAAAAAATAATTTTCTTAGCGTTCAAAATAAAATAAATTAATTATCATTCCTTATTTTTAAATTTCATTCAATAATACTTCTTTGAATCTGATTTATTTAATGATTCTGATTAAAAAGAAAAATTGAACTAAACTAACGAAGCTATCAAAAAACAAACTTGTGTATAATTCAATTACTTTTTTTTTACTGGCATCCCTTGTAAGACGTTTTCAGCCAGCGACATTTTTCGTCGGCTGGTGATTTTTTATTGAAAATAAGTCCACAAAAGTTAGTTTTCCATGCTAAGTATTTCTAGTTATATAATGAAATGTGTTATAGAAAGTTAAAACGTGTTTGAATTTCGAATGTACGTGGTTAACAATTTTGTCTGGAGCAGTGACAGACCTTCTTACATAACTTGAGATTTCGAGGACATAACCAAACTTTTTAAGTGAATACAGCGATTTATCAGAAACTACTTTAATTGCAGAAGCCGCGAAAATGCTGGGTCGTGTCGCACCGGGAGTGGCCACTCCGGTGGTCGCAGTTATCAACTTCCAACAGAACCGTAACATGGCTACGCTGAAAGCCATCTCGATCAGATTAAAGTCTGTAAAGAATATTCAAAAAATCACCCAGTCCATGAAGATGGTGTCTGCTGCCAAGTAAGTTGATAAGTCTGGGTTGGTCATTCTGATATGCCATCTTTTGCTTTATGATCCAGCTACTTATCACTATACTATTAGATACAAAGTACCTAAAACCAAAAAATGTTTAATTATATTGTATCATAAATTTATATTCTTAGACCAACGAGGATTAATATGTTCACACATAATATTTCTCCTTGGTATAAGAATGCACCAGGGTAGGTTACTAAAATAAGTTAGATTTCTATAGTTATAGTTAATAAATTTCAATCTTTTAAGGTTTAAAATCCAGTAGAGAAACTTTGACAGATTTCTACTACATGAAGAATTGTTAAACTCTTCATTAAAATATACATTACATTAAATTATATAAAAAAAGTATATTAAAAATGTGTTTAGGTGCCTACATACTAACTAGATGCTAAATCTTTGAAGAACCATAAGCAGAAATTAATTGTCAATGAGTCAATGAGTTTAATGATGGAATGAGAATTATAGAATTTTCTTAAATCTAATGTGTAATTAACGCAAATAACAAAATATAATTCATTTTCTTAATGCAAACTTGTATGTGAAACAGGTACATACGGTCTCCCAGACCACTGTCAAAGTTTCAAGTAAAATTAATTACTAAAAATGAGGCTGCCAATACAACCTCTCACCTTAACAATCTTTATACCACTGAATGTGAAAATATTGAGTACTTCACATGTAGGAAATATGGTTCCAATTTGACAACACAGCCAGATTGTTGGTCTATCTTCTGGAGGTCTGCCTATGCTCTGTTTTTCTGTCTATGGTAACCAATTGAGGATTTTCTGTCCCAAGGGCTATGTATCCTATGAGGTATGTCAGGCTCATAATTGTTTAGTCTATGATGTTTACTTTGGTTCCTAATTTTTGCAGACATGGAGCATAGCCTTCTTTATCTTCCTCTGAGTGACTTTGTAGCCTAGGCTCACAGTTAAGGATCTTATATTTGTTATTGTTTATGAAATAATATATATCTATTGGTACTTATGCTTTAATTTTAAAGCTTTTCTAGAATGATGATAAAACTTTAGACTTGTAAGTTTGGTATTTAGCCCTCTTTTATTAATAAGCAGCATTTTTGTATCTATTTTCTTATTTCTAGTATGACTGTATCACCAAAAAGGACTGTATTGTGTTTATGGTTAATTTTGGATAGTACATTACTCTAGGCTTGAATAATTAATCATTGTTTAAAAGGAAGCTCCAAAAGCCTAGTGTAATTAGACTAAGTTTAGAAAAATAAACATTTATTATAATAAATAACAGAGGTAATCTTATTATATACCATAATATAATTGAATTTAATTTTCATTGGAATAATTTTAAATCAAATTAAAATAAGAATTTTTTAGTTGAGTTTAGAGTGTGGTGCAGTAGAATAGGCACAATTTAGAAATCAAATAGTTTTACTATGACTTGCTGAGTATTTAACCTATATTATTCCTATAATGTGCCAACAAGAACCATTTAGCATTTATTCATTGTTGTTTTTCATTAGATATACTCGTGCTGAACGTGACTTGAAAGCTGCCCGCCCCTATGGAGAGGGAGCAGTGCAGTTCTATGAGAGAGCTGAGGTGTGTACTCATTGATGTTATCGAATACTTTATGTAAAATTGGCAACAAGTATATTTTCTTTTTTGCAAAATTTACTCACAATTTATAGTCTGTTGATTACACAACCAAAATGTGAACGGCTGTGATGGAGCATTGTGTAACATTACATTTAAATAAATGTCAACGTCTTTGTTGGAAGCGCACCCCATGCTCATGTTTATTGAAATGTGACATCATAACTGATTTCACAAAATAAGGTACAACACTTTTTGGAGAAAAATAAATCTGATAGTGGTTTAACACAATCATTATGAAAGTATTAAATTACTTTTTACAAAACAGTCAATAACAAATGAAGGCAGACTCATTATATGAGCGCGTTTCAAATAATTAGTTATAATAGTGTGTTTATTCAAACTAACTTTGCATTTAATTACAGGTCACTCCTCCTGAAGATGATCCAAAACAGTTATATGTGGCAATGACCTCTGACAGAGGTAAGTAAGTAGCTGGGTTAATAAATTACTGCAAGGATGGAGTCCAACATAGATGTTGATACTATCAAAACTTCAAATATTCAAAATCTATTAATGCATACAAATTTTTTTAAGCCCTCTGTTTACCATAAATAAGATTAGGCAGGACATTTTTAGAAGGAATTTCTGATTATATTGATTCAGACCTAATGTACTCTTTAGCTTAAAATTTACAAAAAGGCTTTGGCTTAAAAGTTTTCTTCATGTTCCAATATTTTTTATTAATTATTTTAGGTTTAAACATATTTGATATTCTAATACAAAACATAATCAAAGGTGAAACATTCTTTGAATAGACATGTCCGGTAATTCCTTATAATTTTTTACATAAATTATATTTTTTACACAAGCCACTTCAAACTATTCAATATGTACTTTTTAATAATGTTTGAGATCTCTTGACACATTTGTGACTATACGCATAACGAATGTCATAACTTAGACATCGCTCATGTTATTAGGTGGAACCTAGTTATCGGTGTAATATATTATTCCTTTAGGTGATTCCTAAGTTTAGAGAATACGGTCATGAATGTATTAAATGGTTATTTATTTCACACACACTACGCATCAAGTATTGTTACGCCATTAGCACCATTTGTGAAATTATGCGAAACCCTACAGGGTTGTCACTTTTTGAGAAATAAAAATCGTGACGTTCGGATAGTCATTAGAAATCGAGACGAGTGGCGACCCTGAAAGTGAAACATCTGCGTCTGTGTAACGACATTTTTCGTATGCGAGGTGGTTTGAAAAGTACTCGGCCTGACCGAGATTTGAGGGTAGGATGTAAACTAATTTATTGTCATTCGACAGCTCGATTCTTTATTTAATCGTGTGTCAAGTGCTTTTGTATTGAGAGAGGGGAGAAAAGGAATATGTAGAAAAATAAAACATGTTTTTGTTTTTATTTTCTTTATTTTCTTGGTCGGGCCGAAAACTTTTCAAATAACCCTCGTACAACTGCGAAACCGTACCAACGAGGACAAAACCGGACAAAACTGGTAGGAATATTGCATGATTAGTATAACCGTCGTGCGTGGGCGCAGGCCTCTGCGGCGCGGTGCACACCGGCGTGTCCAAGGTGATCCGCAGCCGCCTGGCGGAGCCCGGCGCTGAGAACATCAAGGTCATCTGCGTCGGGGACAAGTCGCGCGGAATCCTGCAGCGGCTCTACGGGAAGCACATCATCAGCGTGTGCAATGAGGTTCCACAGACTAATTCTATACTCTATAAGCGCCGCGGTGGGCGGTCGTTACCGCTGAGCAAATTTCTCTAGGGTCGGGCACGGGATGACTATCTCCAAAGGCACGTTAGGATGTTGGCCCTGTTTGCTTTGGATCAATTGCAGCATGGAGGGTAGTATTAAAACCTGTAAGGAAGGCTCGAACCCAGGGGGACGTAAAACGGCTGATGGTTATCTGCTTTAGAAGACTTCTTTTTTAGGAGAAACTTATTTACTCAGTGTAAATTGCACATTTTTCCACCAACTCATTTTTTGTACTCTTTCCGTAGGTAACGGAAATCTTGCGTCATAATGAAATAGTGAATTGAAATGTAATCTTGTATTTCGCAGATCGGACGCTTGCCGCCGACGTTCCAGGACGCAGCGAAGATCGCGACCGCCATCTTGACGTCCGGATATGAGTTCGGCTCCGGCAAGATTATCTACAACAAGTTCAAGTCTGTGGTTTCTTATCAACAATCAGACTTGCCGTTGTTCAGTCAGAAGGCTGTAGAGGTATTTCTTTATATTATTATTTAAAATTGCTTCTGTGTTCTACAAAACTCGAGTAGTTGATATACATACTAACTTGTATATTTCTTTCCACGGAAAAGGGAGTAGATAGTTACGGCACACTGACGAAACGTTTATTTCAGAATGTTTAATGTTTTACGATAGGATAAAGACTTAAAAAAGTCAGTGTTTTCCAAACAAATTTCAAGGCTCTATCTCTGGGTAGATTTCTCTCTATTCTAGATTTAATCCTCAGGAGGATCACCTTAGACAATGAATTATCCATAATACAGAACAGTTTTATGGCACAGACAAGGATTTTAGACTTGAGAATAGGGCCATGTATCGATTATTACAATAGGGCAAGGGCTCAAGCAGTTGATAGTTTAGTGCAAAACTTGTTGCAGATATTTGATGTTTTATCTATATATGTATGTGATTTCAAATATTTGTTTGTTTATTGATTTCAGAGTGCGCCTAAACTCACGATATACGACTCGTTAGACGCAGACGTGATTCAGTCTTACATGGAGTTCTCATTGGCGTCTATGATATTCTATGCTCTGAAGGAGGGAGCTTGTTCTGAACAATCGTCACGGATGACCGCCATGGACAACGCTTCCAAGAACGCCGGAGAAATGATAGACAAACTTACGCTTACCTTCAACAGAACCAGACAGGCCGTCATCACCAGGGAACTCATTGAAATCATATCTGGAGCGGCCGCTTTGGACTAAATCGACACACAAACAATACCAGCGATAGTCAACTTTTTTAATTCCTCGATTGTCAAATAATGTCATGAGTCTCTATTTGTGATAAATGGGAAAATTATACAAAAGAAAGCACATATAAAAGTGGTGGGTCAAAGGTTGACTACCGTTGGTTTAAATAATAAACTCCCATTTTATTTAACAATTTATTATTATCAAAATTTCTTCAAAACCCAAACGTTTCTTAAAACGAAAATCCAGAGAAACGGATTTAATATGTTATGTACCCACTCGTATTTATTGCAACTGCCATCATAAATAATCAATAGTGTGTACATGATTTGCCGACATTCCTGGACGAGTGTTCTTCAGTTTATCCGTAGAAACACGCATTTTTCTGCACTGGCTTTTACACCTTTTACCGATTTACTGGAAGACTCGTGTAAGCTATTATTGTTTGATCAGTCCAGATAGTATACAATTGTAATGAAATTATGTAAGGATGCAGTGGTATTTAGCAATAAAATATTGTTTAGATATATTTTGTATTTATTTCTCAACTGCCTAACAGGTTTTTCTTTTACCGACATCTACTATGATATTTATGTTCCGTTTATAGACTGGTAAGACCGAGTTGCTTTCAAGAAGTAATTATACAGGAATAATTTAAAACCACTGCGAAGATTTTGTGAAAATAAACTTTAAGTAATTTAAATAAACACGTATTTTTTTATTTTGATATGTTCTAATACTAAAAAATAAAGTTATCGCTTATCAAGGATCGAGATTTTAAAACTTAATTTATGGACACCGCGCGCCGTGCGTCAGCTGAGCGCTCGCTCGACGCCGCCGTAGGCATATGTACTCGTAGGTACCTATCTACACGGGTTACTGAACGCTCATTTTGTTAGATTCGAACTAGATTTTATGCCATGGTCTGAGGTGATTTCTAAGAGTAATTCCAATTTTCCCTTCATACTTTTATGGTTAAGGCCATCAAAATGCAAAAAAATAAAAGAGAAACAAATTCGTTACCTAGAAAAAAATATTAACGTTATGCCGAAGTTACATAGGTACTTCTGCGTTAAGGCGTATTTAAAAAAATTAGAATCAATTACGTATTTACAATAATGTTGAATCAAAACAAATACCTAACTAATTACTTACCATGTATTTTAATATTTGTTCAAAATGAAGTCCACGTCTGTCCAGACATAAACGTGCACATTTCATTAAATTGTCATTTAATTTGTTTAAAACACTAGTGTCACTTTTCACTTCACTGAAAGCGTTATTATTTTTTATTGCTAAGTCTTCTAGACTTTGTGCCTCCTCTATATCTCGGCGTTCGACTTCTTCCCATAAGAAACAGTCCCTCACTTGTGAACAATGCCTCATCCGTATACAAGATGTTTGCATCGCGGTGATGTAGAAGCCACTCACATAAGGCTCGACGTGGTACTGGGTCTAAGGTCATGGAACTGCTGAACCGGCTGAAAGTGGTACGGATGGAGTCCGGCTGTTTTTAGCAGCTTCAATACCGCAGGCTGGCTCACACCAAAGAGATATGGCGCATCGTAGGTACTGACTCTGGGACTTCGTCTGTTAAAATGGTTCGAAGCATTAAGGACCGCGGGGATACGGATCCAAAAGGCCCGCATACGAGGTATGCTCTTCGTCGCATACTTTCTCCGAATTGCGCTTATGTCGGTTCTCACCACTCAGAAGATAAACTCGTACCATCTCGTAAAACTCACGACGGCGGGCGCGTCGCGTGCGCGGGAACGCGAGGACACGTCACATCGGCGCGTGCGTATGAGTCTCACTGTCGCGCGCGTCGCTCGGTCCCGGCGGGGCGGTGGGGGCTGTGGCGGGGGGCTACCGGGCGCGGCGGGGTTGCACGGTGGCATACGCAAGAGAAGACGTTTTCATTGAAGTTTTATTTTAAAAAATGTGTCCATATTCTACCGTTACGATAGGGATAAAAATATTAAAAAAAAATTTTTTAACTAATTATGGAAAAGTGTTCTATTACTGATACTGAACCACCAAAAAAAATTTTTGCACTGGAAAAAAAATATTCCTGTATAAAATTTTTTAACAAATAAAACAGGTAAATAAAGGAAAAGTAAAACATACTCCGTGTATTTTTTTTATATTTTTTAACTTATCTGAATTTCTATAACAGTCTTAACGTTAAACATTATTCTAATTTTGTGTACGCACACAAAAACAATTTCAAACTACTTACAAATGAGCATGCTTCATATTGATAATCGAAATCAACAGATTGTTGATATTTATTTCGCTACACAGGTAAACCGCAAGAATAAAATACCATTGGATTCCGTTATAAAAAAGCTACAATAGTTATGCAAATATGGACCTATACAAAACTTTCAAACCACATGTATTTATAAAAAATATTTTTTTGTGGTACACATAACATATGAAAGTTATTTAATATACTTACATAAATGGCTGGGTCCAATTTGCATGACTACCATTAAACAGGGTGATTAATTGTGACACGAAACATTCCCAAATAAAGTGTAAACTGCTTTGTAATGTGTAAGTTTGTCACTCAAACAGCTTAAATCAATTGGACATTATATTATATTGACAAAGTAATTCTTATCTCGCCACAACGTAGTCTCTTTAACAATAACGCATGAATAAAAAATTTGCCATAACTTTTTTATATCATTGAATTTACAGAAAATTGGAAAAAAGTCATTACACATTATTTGAATAATTTTGGGTTTGCACAACTTCAAATAAGACAATTATAAACTTGTACCGTATTAAATATATAAATCTAAAACTATAACATGATAATTTAAAGTAATTTATTTAAACTAAATTATAAACACCATTTTAAAAATATTTCATAGAAGTAATGGTGCATATTTCATAGAGTTACTTATATCTACTCTATGACTTGTCAAATATACGCGGTATTGTTATAAGCGGCGATAACGTACAAAACTCAAAAATTATCCAATCAATTTGAAGCCTTAATTAAATATATATTAAGTCCAAAATCGATTACGAAAATTTGTCAAGTGGCCCGAATTACTGCCGTGTATGGCATTTCCATATGCCTTGATCATCTAAAGATGTATACCGGTTTTGTTCTCGATAAAGATGCCATGTCTTATCAAAATCATAATTAGTATTCGATCAGATGCTGTCACTGATAAAAAATACGTATACTTAGCTAATTTCATATATTATTCTTATAAGGTCACTTGATAATTCCAAAAAATGTTTAGAGCAATTTTGAGAAACGTCTCTACACGTTTCTTGTTTTGTTCACTTTGTATTTTAATATTCACTAGATAACCATTTAACATACTCCCTAAACAAATTTTAAATTTAATAATTATACTATGCGGACTATTTTTAAAGTTCCCTGATGCTAAAGAAATCAATGAGTACTATACTTATAAATTATTGCAATAAGTATTATAAATCGCTTGAATTTGTGATCGGATCACATAAATCACATTCTATAACTATTTATATATATTACTGAAATTCATATTTTGTATTAGTCTCTGTATATAAGTAATTATGGAGCTTTTATTAAAAAAAATCATTCAGATGTGCATTGTGCATATATGTTGAATTAACATTTTTTGTATAAAAATAAATAAATGCCTTAACTATAAGAAATGACATTTACTGCTTTACATTATTGAGCTGATAATGAAGGATTCTATTTATTAAGAATAAATATTTCTGTTTCAAAATAAAGATCATTAATCTTTATTAAGTATTAAAAAAAACCTTAGTTTCCGAAATCAAACTAGATGTCGCTACGGTACTTTCTTCATTTCTCCATGACAACCCTTCCGGTTTTCTTTCATGTTTAAAAGTAAATTAGTTTTCAAAACTCAATAAGCAACTCATATTCTATTTGTACTTTTACATTAACTTTTCAAATTTCACTTTTGTAATATGTTAGTTAAAAGTAACGGAAGTGACTGTCTTTGGTATATTCGTTTTCTGCAAAAATCAACTTTTGTTAGAGTCGCCATCTAGTGGAGGTGCTTTTTTAGTGCTTTCGTTGAAAAACAAAAACGTTATGTTACTAATGAATGATAGAGGTATGCACAATTTTAGTAGAGACGAAAACTTCCATTCTATTCAATACTTAAGAATACTTTCGGAAATAAGTATTTCTAAGACTTATCAACTTTAATGACAATTTTAAAGTATTTATTACATAAAGCAAACATGCGGAGGATATTTGTACTAATTTCTATGTATGTGATAGTCTTTGGAACTGACAGAAAAAAAAAAACAATATTTTTAATGCTTTCCCTCGACAATAAATACAATGTTACATTCAGAATACAAAATGTAAAGAAGTATAAGCGCAGGTTTTTTTATTTGATTTAACAAATTTTGCGTAAGTAACTTAAAAAAATCGTCAAAGTCGAAAGTCTTAGAAGTTTTCCTGGAAATTTTTATCTACTATATCTGATGCAAATTTACTAAGACTTCTTTTCGAGATGAATAATTATAAAAAAAACCTACAAATAAATCATCACGTAGCTATACAAAGTAAACTACGCCATTATAATACTCATGATTGCGTTATTAATATAACAAATACAATAAAACAATATTTACAATAGAGCGCCGCCAGCGACTGAACATTGATCCATGCGCCTCGAGCGATATCTGTAAAATAATAAAAAAAACGTGATGACAATGTAAAAAAAGTTGATATTTGTGTCTACTTTTTAACGAGAAAAATCGTACAATCGGCTACTTGACAGTTCTAGGTATAAGAGCTTATACCTAGTCTAGCCATGAGTTCTATTACAAAGAAAATATCCGATAATTTCTAAAAAAATAATTTTACTATAAAGTTTTATATGTGATTATGTAGAGTGAAAAAGATTTGTTACGTACTAAACTAGTTATTTAAAGTGTCCACCCTTAGCTTTAATGCACGGTTTCCATTGGAAACTTGGTCACTGCTGCCTCCCAATATTTCTTAAGCGACTCAA